AATTCCCTGGGTCAACAAAACTGGATAACTCAGGTCTAGATAACTGAGTTGATGGTTTATAATGTTTTAAACTGTTGACATTTTTAAAACGTGTGTTCCTTTTTGTGCACATTTGTTGTAAGCCCCCATGGGCCCCTTGTTGAGGAGAAGGTGGGGCAGACATATCTTAAATAATAAAATGTGTACAAGCATACAGTTGTAGTGAGGATAAAATGGTGTTACCCTACATATGCTTTCCAAATCTCCTTGAAGGAAGTTTTGATTGAGATGTGATTGTAAAAGGAGAAATGTCAGCAAGGCCACCTCTACTCAGCAGGTGAGTCCTTTGTGAATAGGATGTGATATTGCAGACAGCACCAACAGATTCCCTTTCCTTTCTCAAGACCACCTTCATGCAGGCAGAAGGAAAAACAAGTGAAAGTAGAATGAAGTGACTGGTGTGATCTAGGAAAGAAGAGGGCAGACAATGGGTTGCAGGCTGGAGGGTTGACCATATGAAGATGCTAGCAATGTCCTATATAAATGGAGGACCTGGAACCAAAGGTCACTGAAAAGTGTGGAGGACAGGGGATAAGTGAAGTATTCTATTAGACGGCAGCTTCAGCAATGGGAATAGAGGCCCACTGGAGCAAGAAGAAAAGTGGATTTGAGTAACGGTACTGTCCTAAGCAGAATGATACCCCTTTAAATCTATTGACGTCAATGGGTGTAACTCTGCTTAGGATGGCATCGTAAGTAACCTAAGCCCAGGACAGGAGTTCCAAAATTAGATGGAGGCAAAAAAAGAGTCCATTGTAGTATTTCATCCACATCAGACTTTGTACGTCAATCTAACAAGTAAATGATATCTCACGTTCAGTCTGTATGTTCAGACATATCATGCCCTACTGCTGTTCCTGGACTAAGTCACTTCAAATGGTGGAAGATTGTTTTTAATGCTGTCCCACATTTTAAAAAATCATTGCCAATGAAAAACAGCATGTCAGCGAGAGAGAGGAGAGAGCTTTTCTTCCCTTCTCTCAGACAGGCAAGCTTTTTATGTGCGGGGAGCTTTTTTACTTTGGGGGGAGATTTAAACATATAATGATGCCCACATCAACCAGCTCTCTGTGAAACGAATGTGCTTCTTTTCCTCTTCAAGTACATAATGCATACTAAATTGGAATAGCAAGAAAGGACTAACATATGATTTGAATATCAAACACATATTCAGAGGATGTTTTAAAGGCAAGCAACTTGGCAACAGCTTGAAGTCTTATGAGTAAACAGCTAACAAAGGTTCCAGCAAAGTTACATAATCTGTCGTGGGTTTTGTGTATGTGTTTTAAGAGAATAGCAATCAAAATTATAAGATGTTTTCAAAACTCTCTGCACTTTGCAATAGAGTTAACCCAATGTTTTCAAAGCAAGGTTTATATTGTACGGTCTTCAGCTCAAAATGTGGAAGATAACTGCTTTTATTGTTTATTTTACAGAGCACAGCAACACAGAGAACAGTTGAAAAAGTTAATCATTATAAAAACTAAAATATATTTACCAGTAACAAGCAATGTATGTGCAATATGTTAATGCTGCACAAATATACAAAATTGAACCACAAATGTAACAACAAACTGTGATGTCACAACTGCACCATCCACCTCTCTTCTCATTAGTGTTCTAATGCATCTTGTTAATATTTAGAAGACAAACTTTTTTAACTTCCACTTTTTAAATTCAATAGAACATTTCTTACACCCTTATTCTCATTTCTGGAGTTTCATATCATCAACAGATTTTAGTTTAATATTTGAATGGCAGCTTCAATTGTATTTAGTTGTATTTATGGACTAACACAATATTTGGTTTTACACAACAGATTTTGCATGTACCATTGACCACAAGGAAACTTCTTGGAATTTTCAGGCTTTATTAATGCCAGGTTGAATTTTATTGGTCTCCATCTGCTCACAACTCCATCAGGGCACGAAAAGGACAGCATTCTATCAGCCCAACTAGGTGGTCCTTTGGGGGACAAGGAGGATGTACTCAAATACCTCCAGAGCACACAAGGGCTTTCCCATTAACTTGTATGAAGAATGTATGCAAAACGATGCCACTGCTAATCTCTATCGAAATGAATGAGGAAGATGGCACAGAGAGAAGCTCCATTTGTGCATGGCTTAGGTTCTCAATTAGGGCATTTCTCCTTAATGTAAAGAAAATATACACAATTTTGTTACTGTGATCTATTGCAATGACCTATTGAACAGAGCTGGGAAAAGTATCCTGCTTTGTGTGAGAACAAGCCAGTATCATGTTTTCTACTGATACAAAAACATTCAGGGTTGTTAAAAGGTCGGCATTTCACCCAAGAATTTTAACACACAGTCATTTCTCCCACTCATAACTCTTGGATTCCTCTACTCCCTTTGGACTAGTCTGGAACGTGAAAATATTTCTGGTCCCTTATGCCCATAAATGGAAAATAGCCCAGTACAGATGTTTACAAAAGATGTGAATGAAACAAGGGTAAACAGCTCCTTCTTTGCCTGGAAGACTACCATGGGGAACAGCTTCTAATTCACTTTGTCCTGTTTTCCAGAATGGAATAAGAGTCCCTGCTGCTGTAAACCTGGGGCTTTAAAATCAAGGAAATTAATTTTGCTGTCACCCTTGCCCCAGACGTTGAGGTCTGAGGAAATAATTAACAGCACATAAATGGCCCTGGAGAATGCCTGTTTTTACACAAGCCACAGCAGGGGAGAAGGGCACTTGAAGCACACAGAACTGGATTTGTTGATAAGAAAGGGACCAATCCTTTTTCATAAACAAACAAGCCATCTTTCCTATTTAGTTATTCAGTAGTCCCATTTGATTCAACCCTCCTGGTTGTGAATGATTAATAAAACAGGAATTCAGGACAGTCTCAGACATTCCAAAGGCAAACAAGACAAAGGAAAAACAACCACTTTGAGAAGCAGCATTAAAAGTTTTGGAGGCAGCATTTTTTTGTGCTTGACATTCCTGAAGATAACTCCCTTTTTGGTATATGAATCACAGCTGAATCATTAAAATCTCTGAAATCACAAGCATTCACGGCGAAAATCCATATGCCCAGGGGATGCTGAACTGGAGCCTAGAAGAGCAGACCTACACCACAAACCTGTTCAATATCCATTCTGTCTTTCCAAGGAACCCTCGGCACTATTTCTCGGTATAGGGATATAAAAAGAGCCCCACTGGATCAGACCTGTGGTCCATCTAGTCCAGCATCATGTTTCACACAGCAGCCAAACAGCTGCTCTCAGGGGCCAAACAATAGGATGTAGAGGCCGAAATCTTCCCCTGATGCTGCCTCCTAGCACATGGTATATGGCTCTCAGCTTTCTGTGAGTCCAGAACTTTACACACAAATTAGAAAATGATAAAACTGGAACAAAGTTCAAGAAAACATTCTATCTACTGGCAAACGTGACCTTCAAATCCCTTTTAAGTGTTCGACCCAACTGGATTTTCTGCTGATGAAACAGGAAGGAAGCATCCTCTTTGACCATCCAGAAAGGTTATGCTAAGAGTGTACAAAAGCCAAGAGGATGGGTTGCTGTAGTACTGAGGCGAGTTGGGCGAGACCAGGGGTCGTTTCGTAGAAAAAGAGCTAGGGGAACTCATTAGCATAACTCATTAGCTGCCGCCGCCGGCCTTGCAGCTCCACTGCAGCTCCCATGAGGGGCCCGGCGGTGGACCTGCAAGGCCGGCGGGAGTGCAAGGAAGCCCCATGAAGGCCCTCCCTGGCCCCAGGCAGGCAGGCAGGGGTAGGGAGAGGCAGGGAGGAAGCAACTTACCCTCCCTCTTCTCCTGCCTCCTCCTGGCTAAATGAGGGCCGGAAGCGGGGTGGCCAGAAGCAGGGGGCGGGGCTTCGTCATGTGCCCCGTCCCCCCGTACCTCACCTGGGGGGACTGTGATTCCCCCATGATCCCCCCCGAAATGACCCCTGGGTGAGACAAACTGAAACACTGTGTTCTTTTTCACATGACATCATATTCTAATCATCCCTTCTGCACCCTTCATATGTTTTTTCCCAAATCAGCTTTGCTGCAATTTTTGGAGGGAAGTACACAGTCCAGTTATCATGCCACCTGCACAGGAAGGTCCACATTTTCCAAAGTCCCACCCATATCAGTGCCATTTTCACAGTGGGCTACAGCAACTACCAATATAATAATAGAAGCCCTCAAGTACTCTGATGACACAGCAGGAGAAAGCTGCAGGGAAAATGGCAGCCGAGAGAGGACAGTGTGAACAAAAATCTTTTGTGGCAGATCTTCTCAGACTGTAGATGAACAGTTAGATTTGAGTCCAGTAGCGCCTTAGAGACCATCAAGAGTTTCAGATCTGTTCCCAATGTCAATGCCTCTGTATTCTCAGTGGTAGCCAGAACAAAACAGAGAATACTCACCATGTGGATGCAGCCAAAAATAAACCTGAAGAACTAGTTGATAGAGAATTTTGATGAAAAGGAACTGAGACAAGAAAGGGCTCATCAAAGCACAAAATGTGGAGGGATTATGTGATAAAGAGAAGGACAGAGGAATCTGGCATGGCTAGTTGAGAGACAGAGTAGCTAAAGGGAGGGGGATAATGTAGGCCGTAGCCTGAAAAGTAGGACCTGAGGAAACGACTGATGATAGAAACTTCTAGTTTTCTACAGAATCTTCTACAAACAAAGAACATTGTAGACGTTAACCAAAACAAGAACAAGAAACAGCAAATATGTAACATATCCACCCTCAGCCCCTTGGATGGCATGTTTATGTGCAACCTGAGCTGAAAGAAATACACATGAAGAATGAATATGGTTATTTGACTAAACAGTCTTAGACACATAGCAGAAATAAGGACAACACTTGAGGTCTGTCATTTTTTTGTTGGAAGGAAAAAAAGAAAAATCCCTGTAGAATTTAGAAAAAAAGGAATTATTTGTAGCGATACTAAAAATCACTTATCATAGAAGAGTCCCATTGAAATAAATAGCTTGGGGGGGGGGTTGCACCCTTTTTGGACTTTTTCAAAGCTAATAGCACCTCTGTTTTTGTTCATTAAAAATAGCAAAAATTTTGCCCACATATTTAACTCATTAAAGCAATTGAATTGATATGTTCCAGATTACATTTATAGAATATCCAATTTAAAATGTTAAGTTTGACCATTTGTTCATGGTACTCTGAAAGTGAAAAAAGGGAAATTATAATTACCAGCAAGCTCTATGGTAGGCTTTGTGTGTGTGTGTGTGTCTTTTCCCCCACAGAATTTTACTTGTTCATTGGCAGTACTTTTGCCCCATGTGCATTAATGTAAGTAAGAAGAATTTTCGCCCTTCTTTCTATCACATCGATGAGTTTTTCAATCCCTTGACGACCTCCTTGGCTCTCCCAAAAAATTCTGTCAAGGAACAGAGACTGAAGAAGCTTCTCTCGCAAACGTTGGCTTTTCAGCACTGAGACTGCAGATTCAGGGAACCTGAAAGTAAATATAAATGTTAGCTTTAATGTCCTGTAATTTTAATCGAAAATGTGATTCAGCATTTTTTCACATCTGCTAAATAATTTGTAACAGAATGATATTTTGGCCATAAACAAGAATGGCAATTGGACATCAGTTCCCAAAATATATGTCAGATGAGGAGTGAAAAACAGTACTGAGGAAAGCCATGGGAGATGAAAAAAGCTAGCAGGACCAAGGAGCAGTATAGGATAAGCAATGATAGAGGAAGAAACACCATCTATGAAGGGTCTCAGTCCAAGGCTTCTGAAAACAGACTGAGTTCATGCATATGCCAATAAAGGTCTGTGTATGTATGTGAGTTCATGTAGGCATAGACAGTCCCCCTACACCCCCAGAAGCTGAGATTCGGGTTACACTTTTGCACAGGAAGCTGCCAAAGATCAGAGTATTGGCCTCCTACCCTGATCACTCTTGCATGAGTTTTGCATCTTCTCAGAGTTTGCTGTGATCATGCAAGAGTGTAAGTGGTAATTCTGGGTGATTCCACTTTCTTTTTCATTTAATTTTATCCTGTCCTTCTCCCAATGAGTTCAGGGTAGCTTATACTACACTCCTCTGACATACTATTCTGGAGATCCCGCTCCCTTCTATCCCTCAGCAGAAGCTTTTTAAGCTTCTTGTAAAGGGAAAGGTGATAAACATTGCTTCCATAAATTTATTGTTCTCACAGAGATTTGAACTGTACCCAATGGCTGCTAGCAAAACCAGAAGAGAGCAGGTACAATGGCAGACCAAAACAAAGAACTAGTAAAACTACTTGGCCCCCAGGAGGCCTATGTAGGGTTGCCAGCAATGTTCCCTCTAAACTGTTAAGTTTTGTGAGCAAAAATTCTACTTTGTGGGCTACTGGCATTAAAGTTGTGAGCGAGCAATTTGGCTCCTGCCTAAATTAGTTTGCTCTGGAGCCATCCCTCCTGAGCTAAGACAAAAATGGGTGAGCCAGAGGCTAAAAAACTGTGAGCTAGCTCACACCAACTCAGCTTAGAGGGAACACTGGTTGCCAGCCCTGCATCAGCATGCGCCTGGAGACTTTTGGGCCACTGCCTGGGTAAGGTGGAGTTTCAGGGGAATGTGATGGCATTTCTAGGAATTTCCCCTAGCTCTATCGTCTTTACCATAGAGAGGGGGGGAATTCCAAGAGTGGCCTGGAGGATGTGATGTCTCTCCCAGGTGGATAGTTGATGGATGTGACATCACTTCCAGGTCTCTATGTTCTTTAGCACAGAGATTAGAGGAAATTCCACAAGCATCACTATTAGTACCATTCTCCCTATTTTTTCTCCCATTTCTCAAATTATCAAGGGTAGGGGACAAGGGCTGCCAAGCTTCCAGTTATGGCCAGAGGCCTTCTGCCGGTAGCCCTACCTGCAAATTGCTGCTCTGAGCAGTGCTGCGAGAATTTGTTTAAATGGTGATGTTGACTGCATTGCTCTATCACTTCCAGGGAAAACCAGAAGTGATGTAGGGTAGCTGTAGAGTTTCCAATGATTCCTAGAGCTATCATATGTTTTCCTGGAAATGATGCAGAAATGCAGCTGACGTTGTGCTTCCAATGTCCCCACGCCCAGCCCTCCTGCCAGTTGCCAGGCTCCACCTGGCATCCCAATGGGGAACTGATAGTAGGGGCTGGGAAACAGCCCTCTGCCACTAGATAAGTAGTGACCCTTGCCTAAGCTTTTCCACCCAGTTTCTTGAATATCTGTGGTTTGAGTTTAACCATTGCTGTTAATCCAGGCAGCAAGTTTCATTACTTAAAATAGTTATAACTCTAATTTATTCTCCCTGTGGAAACACCTGCAAAAGGCATTGGGGATCTAAAGTGAAGAACCAGGGAGATGCTACTGAACCCTACATGTATTTGCACATATGTCATAGAACTTACTCTTGTATGCCATGCAATATTTTGAAGTCTAGATTTTCTTCACTTCTGTCAAAGAAACCTTTGTTATCTATAAAGACCAAATGTCGTGGGTCCTCCTTTCGCTGAATAATGTGAGTCAAAGCAATGCTATCCTGGTCATTGCAGTTCAGATGCAGTCCTTTCTGTACACAGGAATCCTCTTTGTGTGGTTTGAATCCACAGCAGTTTTTGTCCAAGCGGTGATAGATCTGAAAGTGAATATGGTAGGTTACCCCCAGTGATATTGAAATTTCAGAGAGAGAATCCAACACAAAATTGCTACATTAATATTCATCCAGAACATCAATACTATCTCCACTTGCTAGGTCTTACCAAGGATGCTGGATTTCTCACTTGCTATAAGTATTAATATCTTTCATATCCCACTCCTTATATATTAATTTGTTTGGCTTTACCACTGTAATGTTTTAATGGAATCTGCTCACTATGTTTCATCTTACACTTGTTATATATCTCTACGGCAAACAACCTTTTCATATATGGTCAGCGCATAATTGCTTCACTTGACCTCTCTTTAACACAACAAGCTAATGGGCCAACCTGAGTGTTTTTCTAACACCCACATCCATTATTCACAGTTCATATAGGTTTGCAGCCCAGTATTAGTGTCTTCCAAGCAGCAATCTTTTGAATAGCACCCACACATGCTTATTTTTATGCTTATTTTTACACACTTACAATGAATCAGTCCTCCCACCCACTCTTCGATGACTTGATTTGAATTCCATCCATATCTTTCTTCTATATTCCTATTAATCTCTGAAGTACTACATTACATGAAATATAAATCCCCTCAGCCTTGCCTCTCCATTCTTGTAGTCTCTTACAGGGTTCCGTTATATTCATTATATACAATTTCATGTCTCGCTTTCCCCTTTCCCCATCTCTTTTATTTCAAAATATGTAATAGCATCAATCTAATAATGAACCAAAATGGGTAATTAATTCCCCCCCCTCCATAAAAATACTCACCTTTTCTAATTTGGGGGGTGGTTTGGCAAAGAGTTGGGTTCCCTAGAATGCATCCACACTGCCTGTTTCTTCTACATGTACACATTCAAGCAGCTGGTGCCCTCTGGTACCTGGCATTGAGGTGATGAATATCAACTGACTCATGTTCATAGTAAAGTAGTAGTAGTAGTAGTAGTAGTAGTAGTAGTAGTAGTAGTAGTAGTAGTAGTAGTCATAGTCATACTGCTATCATTGGACAGAACAGCAGTTTACCATTCTGAGCTTTTGAATTTCTTGTGACATTTATTATAAAAAATAACAAGACTGCCTTACATTTTGGTGCCTAAACCTGTATGAATGGGTGTCTCTTGAAGAGAGCACTTTCAAGTCTATGTTTACCTGTCCTCCTTCAAAAGGATTAAAGCATGGTTGTCTCATTAACCATGCCAATGGAGAAAGACTAATGGTAGTACAGTTAGTTCAGCTCTCTGATATGTAAGTAGAGAATAATGATGAGCACTCTGTGGCATCAAATGATGATGATAGCTAACTCAATCTACCTATCTATCATCTATCCATCCATCCATCCATCCATGTATCCTGCTTTATCTTGGGTACACAAATTACAAATATATATTTAAAAATATATTTATATAGAAGTTCATTTCTCCAGATCTAAATCTCAGAATTTATGGGTGTGTGGAAAAGTCAATTATCAGGCATCAAAGTTCAATCCAGTTCCTGATGGATAGTGATCTATGAAACTAGTTTTGAGAGCTATGGTTCCCATAGGATGTCATCTTTCTTCAACACTGGGTGCTTTCACGCACACGAAATAATGCATTTTCAATCCACTTTCAATGCACTTTGCAACTGGATTTTACTGTGTAAAATGGAAAAATCCATTTACAAATAGTCACTGAAGTGGATTGAATTAGCATTAGTGAAAGTGCCCACTGACTGAATTTTCTGAGCACTTTTTAGCAGCTGAATGGAATTTGTACTCTTATTCACAGAGCAAGTGCCATACATACTGACTCTTGGAGGGACTGTGGCCTCCTTAGTTACTTTAAAGTCATCAGGCCTTTTGCTTCAGTTTATAAACACTGTCCCGATGCCTTTTCAGCTCGGTGATCTGTTCTCCTTTAATTTCCATCTGCTTCACCAGACACGACAGTTCACGTTCTAGTTCTTCCTGAACTTCATGGTTTTTAGTTTCTTGCATCTGCTTCAGCAGTTCCTGATGTTCAAAGCTCATTTGTCCCAGCTCATCTTGCATGACAAAGAGAAGGTCACAAAGACTGTCAGTAGCAGAAGAAGATGTAGAACAAAAAGATCCAATCTACACATATCAGCCACCCTAAGCCTGCCCTGGTGGGGAGGATGGGATATAAATCTAATAAATAAATAAAAAGTCCATCTAGATAGCCTCTTTTCAGCTCCTTCTGGACTTCGTGATATTAAATGTGGACCACAACTTTTCGTCATATGCAAGACACTTTGAACATCTGCAACAGAATGACTTGAGCTGGCAGACTTGCCAGTAACAAAAAGTAACGCTCCAGCTGGTAGGTACGGTTGTGAGCTGCATTCTTTCCTCAAACTAGAGTTTTTCTTCACTGTTTTCTTCTTCCGACTTCTCTTTTTTGCTTCTTTTTGAGGTGAAGGAGAGGTCATTAAAATTCTGTTCATCTCAAGTCCTGTTTGGAACTGGGCTGCCTTGTCTTGCATTAGCTTACAAAGGTGTTGTTCTTCCTGAAGCTTTGCCCCTAGATGTTTGATCTTTTCTTTTGCAGCTTTCTGAGTGCCATTAAGTCTCCTCGGCTCCGATCAGACGCAGAAGTTGCCGCGGAAGCGGCACGAATGCCAGGCAGATTATAAAGGCGTGATCACATAGCAACATCTGGCCAGCGTAGTGCACCCGTCGCAGCCAGCCGAAGATGCAGAGTAAAAAGCTACTTCCGAAAGTCCACTAGCAAACGGCTTGTGACAGGCCGCTGCCAGACTCTCCTTGTGTGATCGCTCCAGCGCGCTCCTCTTGCGTCGTTGGAGCACGCCGGGAATGTGCACCAATGAAGGAAACTGCTATCGCATCTAATTGTGTTTGCAGCAGGACACACTGTGCCGCCACAAACAGCCACACCTCCCCCCCCCCACGTTTCTCGGCTAGTATGAATGGGACCCAATACTCTTTTGCTAGAATTTCAAGCTTGTCAGGTTTTGCACATATTTCTACTGGGTTCTGATCCTTTTTCTTCTGGAGCTGGCTTTGCTATTCCAGAATCAATTTCTTTTCCATCTCTGCACTGATCATCGTTTTCCTCATATAATCTAGTATACTGCACTTAACCGAAGTCATATCCTTCTCATTTGATTCATGCTGCAAAGTTTTTTTTTATACTGGGCAGCTTCTCTGGACAGGCTGTTCAGGTCATCCTCAGCCTGTGACCTCTCTCCAACTCAAGGCAATGGATCTTTTCTTGAAGACTTTTCAGAGCTGCCACTAGAGCTTGGCTGTTTGGTGCAGGAGTGTCTGCTGCAACAGCCTTTGTCTTCTTCAACTATAAGTCAGCAAATGGAATGGATATTGTATGTGGAGGCTGAATAAAGCTTCCTACGTAGCTATGCTTTGACTCGATATCTACAGACTCCATTACACAGGATCCAGTGTTCCATCATAAACCAGACAAGGGGTGCATTCAGTCTGACAGTTTCCCCACAAACCCAAAAGCCATTACCAGCAGAGGGAGTAGAAGAGAAAGGCCAGAGACTGCCTAAGAAGCAGGAAGCATTTCTCCGTGGCCTTTAAACCACCACCACCACCACCATGACCCCTTATAATCGATAGCCCAATTCCTCCTTTGCCAAAACTTTATTCATTCACCACCCCTGAGGCATGGATGTCTTTATGGAGGGCCCCAAAGGAAAAGCAGCTCAGTTACCATCAAGGGGATCAGACAAGACACGGGAGCCAGGGAGGGGAGAGACAAGGCTGGGTTTTTACTTCCATTTTGCCCTTGAGCATAAAATAAGCACAGCTACAACTACCTGCTCGCCTGAAGTGAAAAAACAAGGAGTCACAAGAGGAAATGCACCTTCCTGGTTCCTACCTCCGTCTCCCACAACAACCACATCCACTTTTGAATCCCTCCTGACCTGCTCCTTGCAAGGGACAGCCCAACCAAGGATTAATTTTAAACAGGCCGCCTCTCCTTCCACTCTCAGAGCCTCTCTGCCCTGCCTCTCCCTGACCCCATTGGCCACACGCCTCCCCCTGCAAACAGCTTCCTTCCCCCTGCTTTATCTCCTTAAACTCATTTAACTTATTATTGGCTCTTACAGGTCAGGGGAAGGGGGTTTCTTGGTGCTGGGCAGCATCAGCTGAACACTGCCTGTTATATGAGGGAAGGGAGGTGCTTGGGGACTGGTATTTCACCTCTCTGAACAGGATTATGTGCAGACAAGGAAAGATACATATTGGCCACATTTGGATGCACTGAATTTTGAGCCAGGCTGGGATTACCTTTTCTCAGAAAGCCTATAAAAGCTGCCTGTTAGCAATGAGTTACACTCAGGGAGTGCCAGAGGCAGGCAAATAAGTCTAGTTAACAAGATCCTGAAGATCAGTCTTTACTACATTCTCGTTAACCCATGTCCGCATCTAATGTCACCATTATGAAATGTTGGAGCACTATGCTGTTCTTGTAAGTCTATGGCTATATTTAGAATCCATATAATTTGTACATTGTTAGATTACACACTCATGGAAGTAATGAGAATTATTAGACAGGACAGTCTATTTCAGGAGGCAAAACATAATGTTCTATAATTATCACGAACATGTTCTATAAATGTAACGTAAATAAAAAGACTCACTGATTCCCTCTTTGTATAAAACCAGTAATATAGGCCTTACAACCATCTCCATAATTCCAAAAAAAATATACAAGGGCAAACTGTATAAGAATAAAAGGGGACCATGTACAGAAAACAAACCGGCTTTTAGAAATAGATACCAAAATGGGAACAATCAAATGACAGAATCTGCAAAGTAGCAGAAACTTCCTTCCCTGGTATGTGCCTTTGGAATGAACGAACGTTCTTGTTGTTGTGATTACTTATTTACTGTTCTTTCTGGATCACAGTCATCTGTTTTTCGCCGTTTGAGAGTAGAACGCACTGGTTTTTAAAATAACAGATGAGTCACTCACCATGTGGTGCCAGTCAATGCTCCCTCTAAGCTGTGGAGTCTTGTGAGCAAAAAATTCTACTTGGTGAGCTACTGGCATTAAAGCTGTGTGAGAGATTTGGCTACTGCATAAATTAGTTTCTCTGGAGCTAAGACAAAAATCTGTGAGCTGGAGGCTAAAAAACTGAGCTAGCTCACACTAACTCAGCTTAGAGGGAACACTGGTACCAGTCATGTGTTGTTTGACTTTTTAAAGTCTTTTAAAAATGGCAGGTCCTGGTAAAGTTATGAGAATTAAAACTGGCAGTTTAGACCATTCCACTATGATTTTGTCAGTGGCATCCTAAGCAGAGTAACACCTCTCTAAGTCCATTCACGTCCTTTTGCTTAGAAAGGGGCAACACCAGGATGGTTCCAGAGACTTCTTTGCTTTCTGAACTGCTGACAGTGTATTATTAAAAAATTTTGAGAATATGTATCACCAGACACCGTCTTTGTTTTGTGGAGCAAATGTTTCCCTTTTTGTGTGTGTCTTTCTTTTTTTCTGTAACCAGCCTTTATCTGATCTGCCTCCTTCCAAACTGATGCCCCAATGGGCAAAAAGGAACTGACAGTGAAGATGGTGCTCTTGTTGTGTCTGAACACTTCTGTGCTTAACTGTAGAAATTCCTTAAAGTACAAGGAAAGCCATGTTATAAATGTTTTAATAAATAAAATAGAAAAATAGTTTATAAATTGTCTACAAAATCCAAGCAAAACTTAACATGCTTAGAAAACCTCTAAACGTCCACATCTATGTTCAGCTTGATTTGGGGCTTATACTAGGGTTGCCAGCTCTGAGTTGGGAAATATCTGGAGGGACCTCAGCAGGGTTTCCATGGTGTCCACCCTCCAAAGCACCATTTTCTCCAGGACAACAGATCTGGTTATCTGGAGTTCAATTGTAATAACAGGAGATCTCCAGGTGCTACCTGGAGGTTGGCAATCTTAGCTTACACACTAATGAATACTGCAGAGTCTTATAGCTAACTCAGGTTGCCAGGTCTGTTAGAGACACCAGTGGGGGGTAGGGGGAGGTTCCAGGAGCTGGAAGCATCGCTCCCGACATGCCAACGTCACTAAAAGTGATGTCACGCGCCATGCCTACATCGCCCAGAAGGCATGTTGGGGGTGACACTCTGGTTTTGGGGCAAAACTCTATGGTAAAATTTTGCTCAAACCATAGAGTTTTGCCTAAAAACTAGAGCGTCACCACTAGCGTGCCCACTTCACTTCCAGGTGACGTCAGCATGTGCCGCAATGTTGCTGTTAGGGGAAGGATTTCCTCCCACTGATCAGCTGGCAGGTGGTGGGCAGGAGCCCACAAAAACAGGCAATCCCCTGCCCCCAACTGGGAAATGGAAATGGCAACCCTATAGCCAACTGACTGGTGATGAAAGCAGTCTGCCACAAAACTGCTGAAAATGGAATAAGATACAACACCCTTTCGTCCTGTCAACAGAGAGGCCCATTTAACTCTGTGGTGTAAACAATCCAAGCCTTTTACTTTTCCCTTCATCATGTGAGGAGTCCTAAAAGAGAGACTCTTGACACAAACCTGATTTCATATCTAATGTAAATGTTTCAATATAGTGGAAATCTTCCCCTAATATGTTACAAAATTTTGTGCAAATCAAACTGATTTTTCCTTCTCTCCCTCACACACACAAATTTTCCTCACTCAGGAGTCAGATCATTGTGAAGGCCAAGTTGTATGCCATTTCCCCCAAATTTTTCTTCAAGACACCACATTCAATTTTCAGGGTTTCTAAATCAAATTTTGGGGTGTGGGATTTGTGTTTCAGACAGTGGAAATGATGTGATGCATGGAATATCTGGATTAAAACTTTGAAAACTGTTGACTTGAATTTAAATCTGAAGATTAAAGATAGAGAACTTAAAGACTTCTGTTGGGTATAGGATTTTCAGTCACATTCCCTTCCACAGCTCTTACTGCATGCACTGAGGAAATATAATCAGGCAATGAGTCACTCTTTAAAAAGTTACCTAAAACAAATCTCATATATTGGTAATTAGTCCCACGTAGCTATTGTTTTCCTACCTGTAACAGGAAATCAAGGAGAGCCATCTTGGACCATTCATGGTAATGGACATCTGTACATCCCCACTCTGCTTTGGACACTTTATGATTCTGCCAACACCTCTGCTTTAGTTGCTGTTTGTAGGTCCCCCAGTTTAGCTTCAAAGAAGAGTGTGTCTCATTGTCTGTTTGAGACAAGGAAGGATCCCAGAGAACCACAGGACATGGTTGATCATCTAATATGAACAAAAAGAAAAATAAAACATACAGAGCCACTAGCATACCTAGACCATGAATTTAGGACTTACAACACGTGTTCAATCCGTAGGCAATGTCTAAAGTCATAATAGTTTAACAGCATAGGTTTATAAAAAGGCATTTTAAAGATGTGGCAGGAAGAATCTAAAACCAGTGATGATTTTTCTTCCTTTGGTTAATGTGGTCATATGCCACATCTAAAGGATGACACTACACTGAAGGAAGAACTCTGGACATATAATTGTCTCCAACGTCTGAGAATAACACCCACTTTTTTGCTACAAAAGCGATATTTTAAAAGGAACCATACTGCAAGAGAAGATTTATTAAATGGATTGAAAATGGTTTGGCACATCATCACTGAGTGTAAATCACTGTAGCTCATTCAGTTTCAGTAAAGCAATGTACATTTATGAGAGTGTCGTCCTTTAACGATATATGCATGATTAAGCAGTGGATTTCAATCTCCCAAAAAGCAGATTAATATTCTCATCTTTATTGCTTTGGTTGTTAATGTAAGACTTCCTAACTAAGAAATAACTTAGACAGACAGAAGGGATGCATAAAGACTGAGCGGCTGTTTTGCAGTGCAATCCTACACAGAATCACACCATTCTAAACCCATTGATTTGAATGGATCTTAGAAAGGTTTGTGTGTGCTTAGGATTGCATTGTAAGTCTGAAAAGTCATAATGAAACCGTGTGAGACATCTAAGAGAAAAGTTAATCAAAGCTTTATGCATGCTATGTGCAGTTCCCCTGCATTTTTCACATGTTACGCAAAACAGATTTTAAGGCCTGTGTTTTAAAACTGGAAGTTCTTTTACTTTTATTTCACTCCTCATCTGGGGACAGAATTGTTTTCCTTGAACTGGCCTGTATCACTTCAGATTACAGATGTAGAACACTGGCATGTCAGGGAATACAACACTAGAATTTATCTGTGACATCTGGCTTTTCATATGGGGCAATTGATCTGTGTGCAGGAATTTCAATAGTAAGATCCTACCTTCTGTCTAAAGTGGTACAGTCCACATACAATTCACATACAGAACAAAATGAAAAAATTCAAAGGGAGATTTTTCCCCCCTTAACGCCATATTTTCATCCTTGATAAATGGAACTCATTGAATATCAGCATAAGTGCAGCAAAAAACAGCGGCAACTCTAGGAAGAGATCACAAAATGAATCGCTTTCTTTATATCTAAATAAAGGATATGTGACTATTTTTTATTTCTAGTGTCAACAAATTTATCCATTCCTCTTTTACAAAAGGAGGAACCTTATGTAGTGATCTCTGGTTCCTTTTCTCCCTGCTTCCTCCCATGGGTTTATATGAGAGAGGGTGAGACAGATAATTCTGGAAGAACAAAATGGAACAAATGTTAAATACAGGAAGTGTTTGTGTTTCACAGGAAACAGACACAGCAAAAATGAATCAACCCAAATAGAGCTCTTCAATATGTTCCACTAAAATGAATGAACTCTGCCTGTAAATAAAGTACCAAGGTAAAAAGCATTAAATATTACATTATAGTTCTAACAGACAAGACCTAGAAGAGATCTGAATTGTATTTGCTCTGACCTCTTGCCCTAAAAGATGACTGCCTACAATTCCATATCCATAGTGCACCGGCCTACCGATTTGCCAACATATATCCAAATTACTGTATGCTTCAAAAAGGGGGGGGGGAATCCAACTCCAGTTAAAGAACTGTTTAGCTCATGTTACACACAACTGACCATGACAACCTCAGATCAGACAGCCAATCTGATCAGCTGCCCCCCCCTACAAACATACACAAGGCAGACCGCTGACCCATGTAGCTTAGTACTGTCTTTTCTGACTGGCAGATGCTTTCCAGTATATCAGTCAGAGAAAGGTCTTTCTCAACACACTATCTACATTTCTTTAACAGGAGATGCCATGGAAAGGGTCCTTAGGATGGCAGCTTGGATGAAATCCTTCCACTTTCCTTCCCTCGAGGGAAGAGTTTCCCAGCTCTCAGACAACCCTGTTAACATATCTGTCCATGTCTTCCTCCCAGCAAGCACTCTGCAACTAGTTGCATTGCAGCTTTAAGGATAGAAAGGAAGACACAGCTCAGTTAACTGCTTCTCTTTTAATGCACTGGAGCCATGGAAGTGCTTGTTCTGTATGGAAGTGGGTCTGCTGTTCCATCCATTCAGTCAATGCCCCATATTATTCAGTCCAGTTCTACAATGCTTCTGCATCACATGGAGGCATGGCCCGAGCCTATGCCCTGGAGGTTACTGAACATCTCCTATTCTGGCTGATCTCTGTTGACCTGAGGAACTATGAAGCTAAAGTGCGTTGTTAAGAGGACTTATTCTGAAATAATAATAATAATAATAGGAAAGACAGAAAATAATGCAGAATCAGCAATTGAATGCCCATCTGTCTCAGAGCCGCTGGTTTTAGAGATGAACATAGTACCAGTGAAATCCCAGCATTTTTTCTTACATCATGCCCATCTCCATAGCAACATAGTACTTCGGCTTGACTTATGTATCCTCCAGATGTCTAATATTAGAATTGCAAGTTTTCTATATTAGGATGCACAAGCAGAGCTCGATAGCTGGGGGGGGGAATGACTTAAAAACTCTTGTCTGATTTTTTATAAGTATCATATTGGTTCCTTTCTCCTTGTCACCTTCCCTTCTACAGCTTCAATCATCAGATTAAAATACACTACTTTTTAAAACCAGATTTATAAACTCCAAATAATTCAGAACACCTACATATGTATGTGGATGGATGGTATGATGCAATGCACTGATTTAGAATAATTTGAGGGATGGGATGCAGACCAAGAAAGGTTAAAACAAAAATATGTTGTGGCCTATTACCGAATGGCCAGCAAATAATAACGGTGATCTCAGAGCCAGTTTGGTGTAGAGAGCCAGTTTGGTGTAGTGGTTAAGTGTGCAGACTCTAATCTGGGAGAACCGGGTTTGATTCCCCACTCCTCCACTAGCACCTGTCTGGATGACCTTGGGCAAGCTGTAGTTCTGATAAGAGCTGTTCTTGAAAAAGAGCAGTTTCTGTCAAGAGCTCTCTCAGCCCCACCTACCTCACAGGGTGTCTGTTGTGGGGAGGGGAAGGGAAAGGAGTTTGTAAGCCACTCTGAGACACCTTTGGGTAGTGAAGGGAGGGGTATAAATCCAATCTCCTCCTCCTCTCCTCCTCAGAGAGATCTATCAGAGGAATTTACTAAATTCTAAACTGATTCAGACCTAAGATCCATCTGGCCCAGACTCTGCAACCATCATTGGCCAGAGATACCTCTAGGAATCTCACAACAAGGGTATGATATGTGTTGGGGGGTCTTCTCATTCTTGCATGACAAACTCCAGGATCTGGAAAAGCATAAAAGCCCTGTTCTCCTTTGATGACTATATGAGAAACTCAAGATGAGAAATCACTGCCCAAGGGTGCACACTGAACAGATACTGACGATCATTCTGTCCCATGTTTTGCCATATGTGTTTGCACATGATATGTGTTAAAATCCTCCTTGCCACTTTTTAAGATGATAGAGACAATCAAGCTACCAACAGAGTAAGAAAGCTACCTCAGTGTGTTTATGAATTCAACGTATCTATATTAGAGACAGGTCATGAATCAAGTTCTTGTTATCAAACTCTTTGTTTACTGCAGAATTTAATGCCATTTGAAAGAAACCTGCAAGCCACATGGGTATATCATTCTATGACAGTTCAAACCTGGTGGGTCACAGGTTGAACAGGCAGTCTTACACCCATCAGCCAAGTCTCAAGATACCATAATTGCTCTTTTTAAAATCTCTGTACCGTCTTATTTTAAAAGCACTACACAATCTGGAGGAAATCTTGGACAAGAAAAACATTCTTGCTTTGTGTATAAATGCAAATATTAATACACGTAGGAGGGCATACATAATCAAGAGATCACATCAGTAGATTTTAACCACCCCCTAAACAAACCACAGCTCTCCAACAGGTTGTTATTGTCCACTCTATTATTTTGCACTCTAGTCAATATGTCAAATACTAGAACAGGTATTGTTTCCATGTTTTTGAGCCCACAGGCACCTTTGGAATTCTGACACGACATTGTGGACCTAAGTAAGAAATGGCTGCTGTAGGAGGTGGGGCCAACCACAAAATGGTTGCCACAAGAGACAGAGCCAATCACAAAATGTCAAGGAGCAAGGTCATGCATAGTTCTAATAGTAACTCTTCAACTGTTGTGTCCGCGGACCGCCACTGGGCGCCCGCGATACAGTGGAGCTTGAGTCCGGAGAACAATGGGGACCAGGCTCCTGCACCCTGCCTCTAGGGAACCAATGGGACATTGGCGGGAGGTTTGAATGGGCCAATGGAAGGTTCCCCAGACTGTGTATAAGCAGCCGGTCGGCCGTTGGTGGGGGTGCGTGTTGTGTACTAGTAAAGTGTGCAGTGTATCATGCGTGCCTCATCAATTCTTCCATGCGGCTAATCCACTACACAACATCAGCAGTTCAGGCAGAAGCTCTGTTTCACAGAATACCTTTTAAAATGAACATGTGCTGTGGTGGAAGCGGCTGCCAAAGCAACTTTTAAAAAATCTGCACAGCCAATTAGATTGTCAGTGACCAATCAGAAACCCTGCTGGGTCATAGCTCCACCTGGCACCACCCACTTTGTAAAAACCTTTGGAAGGTGCCAGGAAGGATGTCGGTGGATGCCATGGCATGCAGGGACACCACAATGGAGACCCCATCGTGGAATATGAGAGCAAGCTACAAAAAAAACCTGCTGGATCTGTTAAACAGTATGCAATAAAGCTGAATGCACCAGCCGAAATGTGTTTTCTCTTTCCCAACTGACCAACATAAATACAATTTTAAAATGTGCCATAAAGAACATAATTGGTGTCTCGTTCATTAATTTCTTTCTTTTTTTAAGGCATCATTTTCACTTCACTTATCAGCCTGTTGAGACTGCAAAAGTAACATGGTAAACGGAATCAACAGCGCTTCCTCTTTTGTCTGTGCCAAGTTCCCAGCCTCTGTTGTTATAAGACTGATCATGGAATGAGCAAACACAATGAGACTCAAAGTTAAAAGCTCTTCTACACTTTCAGAGCAAAAGCAGCTCTGCATTTGAGATGGCCCCTCAGCTAGTGTTGTAGACTGAAATTGTGTTCATGGAACTGTTCGGACAGCACGAGGGTTTCAGCTGTACTTCTCACTGCACTGTGGGGCACTTGGCTGGAGACAGACAATGGGCTATGTTCATATTTGCATTACAAGGTGTTACAATAGCACTCATCCCACAGCCATCTGATAGGTTTTACGTGTTTTTATAAGCCCTTCAAAATCTTGAGCAGAAGGGAGTGTGAGGCACAAGAAATGTACACCACAGAGAATAATGCCCCATCACACCACATTTGGTTCTCTTACAAAACTATTGCCCATCTCCATCCTGTGTTCTCAGCTCACATATCTGACTGAACTCTTATCTCAGGGGCTGATTCTAACGTCAGTTTACAATCATGGTTTGTGACACTACCTGAAAAATATGTTTCTGTACCGCTGTAGTAGTTTGTCTAATCTGCTGGTAAAGAGTGTACATGGTCTGCCAATCATCCCATGCATTTGTTTTCTCTTTTTTTAATTGAGCTTTTCACCAAGTGGCCTGCCAAGGCAGCATTTTCACGTACATACATACATACATATGGACATACCCTACCGTTTTTCCTTCTTTCCACTGGTGATTCAGTTCCCCATGATTAGAAACCCCATGTTTGGGTTGCCAGCAGATCTGCAGCCTTCAGTTCCCCTGGAGAAAATAACTGCCTTGGAGGGTAGCCTGTATGGCATTATACCCTGTTGAGGTCCTTCCCCTCCCTTCCCCATACCCCACCCTCCCCAGGCTTTACCCCCAAATCTCCAGGAATATCCCAACCCAGACTTGGCAAACCTGTCTTCTATTTGACCAATGATGAGTGAGCAGCATTGCTAAGTAATAGTAGTGTTTTATTTTTCTAAGAAAAGACCTTCTGCTTAGATCTCACTAAGCCTGGATCCAAAGAAATACACAACTAGTTCTGTACATACAAGGGGGGTTGGGGTTTAAGTAACTCTCTTTGAACCCTAGTCCTAATGTTCCTAAGTAAACACTGTGTAGAAATCTAAATTCCGTTCCATTTTACCTTGCCCCACAACCTAGCTTCAGAAAACACAGATCTATGTGCTTATACAAGTTTATCTCCCTTTTCACATCCTGGTCTGTTCATTTTTTAAAAAACCTCTTTAGATCAAGGGCCTTCATTTGGCTACCATCACATGTCAGCTCCCTGACAAAAGCAGCATGTTTGCAACTGACATTACAAATTACGCGTGCTTTGCTTTGCCAGCCAAACTACAGGAGTCTTTCCTCTCTTGTGGTCCCCATGCCTGTCTGAATTTTGAACTGTCAAAAGTAAGGAAGTTTTAATGCAAGACTTGTTAGGAGTCAGTTTTTCCTTCTGATAATGCAGATGTATCAAAGAACAATGTGAATTCTTCCATTTCAAAGGTTCGCCATTCATTTGGGCAACAGCAAACAGAGGGCAGCCAGTCACTGGGAAGGATGGAGGGAGGGTGAGAGGAGCATAAACTACAGTTGATTCATATCAGGTCCTAAGTACATCTCTGGAAAAGGGGCTTCCATGAAATGAATGGCAGCTTTCAAGGGGAGTGTTAACATGGCAGCATATTTGTCTTTTTATATCACATCAGGAGTGAGAATCACAAAAGCAGAGCATCCTGTTGAGGTGTTAACATCATAGTCACATAGATGGTAGAAACTGATATGCATATAAGCACATATGACAAAAAAAGGACAATGCAGTCAGTGAATAGGACTGGTGAACTCAAAAGTCCAGCTTTGATTTCTTTCTTCTAATTAAAGCAGCTCAAACGCCAGCCCTTGCAGCTAGATTTTTAAAACTACTTATTGACTTCGATAAAATGCACATACTGCTTTTCTGACATAAAAATTCATGAGACTGGGGGGAGGATTAATTTCCAGTCCATTCTACTTCAGCATAAAGATGTTTGTATTTAAATTTCTCAATGGACAAATAAAAAATAGAGATGAGAAGTACAGTATGTTGAGAAATGCTCCTGCACAAGCCACATTGAAGTAGGAGATAATAAGAGCTCCAATTCACCAGTGTTTTCAGATGGCAGATTACACTCAAAGTAACTATGATCATTGGTGGCTAAAATTGGACATTTCAGACCAAAAATATTTCCAGTGAAAGATGTGGCTGTTCCACATTCTGATCTCATCCGTAGCTAAGAAAATTCCCAGCAAAAAGTAACCAAAATGAAAAACTGGCTATCCCTTTCCCCATTTCTCATCACCTAGCAACAGTTCTTTGCCTTTGGGAACCTCACCAATTACACTTAGAGACTGACGGAGGCTGCATTTCTCCTTCTTTCTTCCTGACACCCTGCAACCAAAAGCAACTGTTTCTAAGGTTAGGCTAAGAGCCATTTACAAGGAAGCCTGCATTCTGCAATGTGTATGAACCCACCACCCATGATCCCTGGAACTAAACTGTTGGGTTCTTTCTGACAGCTTTGCAGCAACAAAATAATGTATGCGTAATGAGTCTTCCATGTTCTGGTAGCCTTAATACTCTGAGAGGCAATGAAGGAAGCACATTGCTTCTCTTATGGATCTACAAACCCTGTCATATATACTGCCCACAGGAAGGTATAGAGCTAATAAAGCAGAGACTGCAGTTATATCTGCATTCTGTTGTTACTGCATGTTTTGCTTTGTCTTTAATAAGAAATATACCCTGATAATTGATTTTGTACAATGTAATCGTTGCACTAGAAAGCAATCACCAGGGAAAAAACAGTGAACTGTTTTAACAGAGATTCATTAAAATGCAGTGCAGCCCTTTCTAGGCGACTATTTGTGCCTAGCTCTTCTGCTGAAGCCACAGTTTAACACCAGTGATGTTTTAGATGCCACATCAAACTGCATTTATTTGGTCTAATTTACATTTTGTGCTGGGATTTACATAATGTGCAGAATAATGTATATCAGACATTTTGTAGTCACAAGGAAAAATAAGGATGAAAAGCAAGCTAGTCGTTACATTTGTTTTTTAGCACTGGAAGGATAATTTTAAAAACTGTTACCCAGACTAGACACAAATGGCTCTCTTCTAAACTGTCCAAAGAAACAAAATAAATCCACTGTTATGTAATTATGATAACTTTAAAAAAATCTAGCAGCATGGAAAGGGAGTAAATGTTAACTGTATTACATGCCCGTCAAATTACCTTGATGGTTTACTAGGCTTAAGCCCATGATTCAAACTACCAGGCTTTGCTGCTTCAGAATCTTCCTTAACTTTATCAATTTATTCTAAATGTTTACCACAGCTTTGCTGAAATGATGAAAACTGCATAGCTGTAACATGTGGTAGCCCATACCCTTGAATGACATCTCTGGCCCATAAAAAAAATGCCCCAAAAGGCCCAACTGAACAAAACCTTGACAAGATCAAGCAAGTCTAGTCTTATGTCAGCTTTCAGATTCTGTCACACAATCCATTTTCTCTCTCTCAAAGCAGTACAATTCCTTATTATCTAGAAATAGAATCAAAATGAATCCTCCATACCCTTTACTTCACAGAATTTAGCTTCCAGTCAATTAGCTTATAATTGTTTTCTACACTAACTATATATGAAGGTACCTGGGAAGTCAATAAATTATGAGGAAACTGTGACCAGGAAAGGACGAGTTTTACTGGAAACCAAATAATCAGCAATCATTTATCTTAGCTTTTTTAAACACTTTTAGTCTGCTCTATATAGTTTTTAAACCACATTTATTGCTGGTTGTTGCAAAGAGAGAAACTGTTCTAGTATAGTTGCTGTGATTTTTATGAATCAATTACCTTGGACAAACTCTGATTTTCTGCCTACCGTAGGCAAGGTCCGGTTCAGCCCCAGGATCCTGTCCAAATGGAAAGCAAACACTTCACTCATGTCAAGAGGTCTCTTGAGGAGGCCACAAAAACCTTGACTGCAAGAAGTAGCTTTGGTCAATCCATTCACAACAGACTTCCTCTCAAATACCAGAAGTGTTCCATGTTGAGATTGTCCCTCTTGAACAGCGTTTATCTTGAAATCTGCCAGAACATGCATATGTAAGATGTCCTCTTTGCTTAGCCAAGATGGTGGCCTCTCACTGTACATCCTGATATTGCTCTCCTGAGTATGGGGCTGCACATTTTCATCTCTTAGAATGTTAACAGATTGCCAATATCTCTTACCCTTTGGGGGTATTTCTTTCTCTTTGTCCTTTTCCTGACGTCGCCTTGCTTTGTTTTGGACTACTGCTCTCTTTAGTCCTATGGAGTTGCTATTCCCATGAGATGACTTGTGCATTAAATGCTTCTCCTGGACAGTGAAAACTGATGGATTGTTATTTCCATAGGGAAAAGGTACTGTATGTTTCTTCCTTTGCTTGGGCTTCACAGTGCCTTGGATGTTGGCAGGTTTGCTGCGCTTGGACCGCAGAGTAATGTAGACCACATTGGGCAGTGCTGAGGTATCATTTGTCTCCATCAGGGGTCTTTGCAAATCAGGAAGTGACAGGGTACCATCCAGTGGGATCTCAAGGAAAGGGGTCTGGGCAGCATCTTGGAGATTCTTGGAATTCGCTTTCGGTGATCCCGCTCTATGCTGTGGTAGAACATGACCTACTTGGCTGACAAGGAACCCCAAGTAAATCACAAAAGCAGTGCCCAATATCAAATTCCTTCTCGTCCTTGGGCACCTGCCACTCCAAAGTCTCAGCAAACATGGTGTGCACAAAGAACAAATGAACCAGTTTATAATTTGGCATGCGTGATCCAGGAAGTTCATTTCTCCAGCGAATCAACATGATGAAAGTACTTTAAAGACTTCAGTAGCTGCAAGCGAGAAGGATGATGTGTGCCTTCTAAAATACCAGATTTCTCCTCCTCCTTTTCCATCTGCATGTGTGGGGAGGGGAATGCCCTAAGAAAGAGAATGATGAATCCTAATGAATCTGACAGGCTACTCCTTATCGGCCACCACAGAGGGTGTGATTTTATTTCAGAGGATGGATGGAGTTGGCTGTGTAAACAAAGTTAACTGAGTCACAGTCTGAAAAGTCTGTGAGTCCCTCCTGGGCTGGCACACTGTTACAAGGGAGAGAATTATAAATAACGTTTTTCAGTCATTATCCACATAATTAGTTCTAACAATCTAAACATCAGCATTTAAAAGGCATAGATAGTGATTATATGTGCACACCCAAAGGGAAAGAAGATCCAGGTATTTCATGCTATCTACATCAAATTAATAGGAAACAATAAAACACTTTTAAGTATAGCTAGGAATTAAATTATGTTCCAGAATAACTAAGCATATAATAACAGCTGTGAATAGAAGACATATTTTCAAATTTAATGAAGATATATTTTCCCCTCTCCATGATAATTACAGGAGATATATGCAGTAAAACCACATAGTTTATTGCCTCCTATTAATATAAGAAAATATTACTTTAACAAGTCAGAAGTCTGCTAAGCCAAACAAGAATGCTTTTATTATTAAATAAATACATGAGGCATAGACTGGGCTAAATTTAGTAGCCATGATTCATATGTTTGCTGGTAAATGTAGCAGCTAACTGACATTGCATAGCCAAAATATTTTTTTCCAGTGGCTGTCTTTTTAAACAAAAATAGAACATTACACATAAACAAACACAATAATGCTTTTTATAGCAGAAGAGGTATCTCTCTCTGGGTTCGGAATCTTACCTGTACAGCTTCTCCGAACTCTTTCTCCCAGTTCTTGTCCTCACAGATCTCTAATATTAATGCAAAGTAGTTTTTCAAAGTTCAGAAACATAAAACACACATCTGGATGAAGTCCACCACACTTTAGAAATTTCTTTACAGACTTAATAGCCCTTCTACATATTTTCACTGGTTAAGACAGTTGTTTCCTGATTACTGCTGCACAATTACGTGAATGTTGGTTTGTGATTAATATTAATTAAGGAAACACAGCTATTTTACATTCTCCAGTGGAAAAGCCGAGTATGCTGTCTTGTTTCCAAAACCAGTACAGCACTGTCCTATCTGTTTCTGACTCCTGAGGGCCCCCTAGTGTATGCCAACCAAAAAAGTTTAATACTATATAATTCCTTCCGAAAAAGAAAATTTGGGACATTTGTAAGAGTTTACCTAAGCATATTGATGACAAAGTCAGTCCCATTGAATTGACAAAGTAAGTCCCATTGAATTAAAAGGAGACTACTTTTACTTTTCTTTAGTTACTTATTCAGGTGGGTAGCGATGTTGGTCTGAAGCAGCAGAACAAAATTTGAGTGCACTGGCACCTTTAAGACCAACGAAGTTTTTTTCAAGGACTGATTCAGGAGGCTGAAGTTGGTTCCTTATTCACACTTCCTTATTCATTCCTTATTCGTTACTTATTCGTGCAGTCATTCAGAAGCACTAAGGAGAGTTGGAAAGCTCTGAACCCCAAAATAAGGTCCGGACCACCACATATCATATACCCCCACATTCACAGGACTCGCCCCTTCGAGGGGACATATCCTGTATCCTGCTCCAAAGCACGGTTCTGGTGCCAGCTGCTCCAAAGTGCATTGCCCCCACACAAGCACACAGGCAGAAAATGGGGCCAGGCTGCACCCCAAAAAAATATTTGAACCACCCCAAATGACACATTCCCACGCTCTGGGGACTGTGCCCTGCAGGGTGACATGCAGTGATGCCCGGTCCAAACACCGGTTCTGATGCCACGAGCTTCAGTTCGCATGTCACCCTGCAGGGCACAGTACCCAGAGCGTGGGAATGTGTCATTTGGGGTGGTTCAAATATTTTTTGGGGGTGCAGCTTGGCCCCAGTGTCTGCCTGTGTGCTTGTCTGGGGGCAATGCACTTTGGAGCGACTGGCACCGGAACCGCGCTTTGGACCAGTGCACAGAATGTGTGCCCTCGAAGGAGAGGGTCCGCTAAAGACGGGGGTGTATGAAGTGTGGGGGTGCAAACCTTATTTTGGGTGCAGGGGTCACTTCCTTATTCAAATGTGCTTTGAAATACAGGCCTCGGGGAAGACCTGCAAACTGAAGCTCATGGCATCAGAACCGGTGTTTGGACCGGGCATCACTGCATATCAACCTGCAGGGCACAATCCCCAGAGCATGGGGATGTGTCATTTGGGGTGGTTCAAATATTTTGGGGGGTGCAGCCTGGCCCCATTTTCTGCCTGTGTGCTTGTGTGGGGGCAATGCACTTTGGAGCAGCTAGCACCAGAACCGTGCTTTGGAGCAGGATACAGGATATGTCCCCTGGAAGGGGAGAGTTCTGTGAATGTGGGGGTATATGATATGTGGTGGTCCAGACCTTATTTTGGGGTTCAGAGCTTTCCAACTCTCCTTAGTGCTTCTGAATGACTGCACAAATAAGTAACGAATAAGGAATGAATAAGGAAGTGTGAATAAGGAACCAACTTCAGCCTCCTGACTGATTCTGCACTAGAGCTGCCTTGCTGTTGTGCCGCCGTTTGCCCCAGTTCTATTGGTCAATCTCACACCCGAAGCTGCAGGCCTGATTTTGACCCGTGGCTTTACCCGATTTCCTCTGCAGTTTCGTGATCCTGTTTTTTAAGGATTTCACTCTGTGGCCCGTCATCCCAGTCCCTGAACAATCCAGGTAAACCCTGGGCCGTCATTCCACTCTTGGCCTTGTCATTCCAGTTCCTGAACACTCCTGCTCCAACCTGGGGCTGTCATTCCACTCTGTGGCCTGTCATCCCAGTCCCTGAACACTCCTGCTCCAACCTGGGGCTGTCATTCCACTCTGTGGCCTGTCATCCCAGTCCCTGAACACTCCTGCTCCAACCTGGGGCTGTCATTCCACTCTGTGGCCTGTCATCCCAGTCCCTGAACACTCCTGCTCCAACCTGGGGCTGTCATTCCACTCTGTGGCCTGTCATCCCAGTCCCTGAACACTCCTGCTCCAACCTGGGGCTGTCATTCCACTCCGTGGCCTGTCATCCCAGTTCCAGAACACTCGTGCTGCACCCTGGGGCTGTCATTCCACTTCGAGGCCAGTCATCCCAGTTCCAGAATACTCTTGCTCTACCCTGGGGCCGTCATTCCACTCCGTGGCTATCATCCCAGTCCCTGTACACTCCAGCTCCACCCTGGGGCTGTCATTCCTCTCCGTGGCCTGTCATCTCAGTTCCACAACACTCCCGCTCCACCCTGGGGCTTTCATTCCCCTCCGTGGCCTGTCATTCCAGTACTAGAAGACTCCTGGTACACCCTGGGGCTGTCATTCCTCTCCGTGGCCTGTCATCTCAGTTCCACAACACTCCCGCTCCACCCTGGGGCTTTCATTCCCCTCCGTGGCCTGTCATTCCAGTACTAGAAGACTCCTGGTACACCCTGGGGCTGTCATTCCTCTCCGTGGCCTGTCATCTCAGTTCCACAACACTCCCGCTCCACCCTGGGGCTTTCATTCCCCTCCGTGGCCTGTCATTCCAGTACTAGAAGACTCCTGGTACACCCTGGGGCTGTCATTCCTCTCCGTGGCCTGTCATCTCAGTTCCACAACACTCCCGCTCCACCCTGGGGCTTTCATTCCCCTCCGTGGCCTGTCATTCCAGTACTAGAAGACTCCTGGTACACCCTGGGGCTGTCATTCCTCTCCGTGGCCTGTCATCTCAGTTCCACAACACTCCCGCTCCACCCTGGGGCTTTCATTCCCCTCCGTGGCCTGTCATTCCAGTACTAGAAGACTCCTGGTACACCCTGGGGCTGTCATTCCTCTCCGTGGCCTGTCATCTCAGTTCCACAACACTCCCGCTCCACCCTGGGGCTTTCATTCCCCTCCGTGGCCTGTCATTCCAGTACTAGAAGACTCCTGGTACACCCTGGGGCTGTCATTCCTCTCCGTGGCCTGTCATCTCAGTTCCACAACACTCCCGCTCCACCCTGGGGCTTTCATTCCCCTCCGTGGCCTGTCATTCCAGTACTAGAAGACTCCTGGTACACCCTGGGGCTGTCATTCCTCTCCGTGGCCTGTCATCTCAGTTCCACAACACTCCCGCTCCACCCTGGGGCTTTCATTCCCCTCCGTGGCCTGTCATTCCAGTACTAGAAGACTCCTGGTACACCCTGGGGCTGTCATTCCTCTCCGTGGCCTGTCATCTCAGTTCCACAACACTCCCGCTCCACCCTGGGGCTTTCATTCCCCTCCGTGGCCTGTCATTCCAGTACTAGAAGACTCCTGGTACACCCTGGGGCTGTCATTCCTCTCCGTGGCCTGTCATCTCAGTTCCACAACACTCCCGCTCCACCCTGGGGCTTTCATTCCCCTCCGTGGCCTGTCATTCCAGTACTAGAAGACTCCTGGTACACCCTGGGGCTGTCATTCCTCTCCGTGGCCTGTCATCTCAGTTCCACAACACTCCCGCTCCACCCTGGGGCTTTCATTCCCCTCCGTGGCCTGTCATTCCAGTACTAGAAGACTCCTGGTACACCCTGGGGCTGTCATTCCTCTCCGTGGCCTGTCATCTCAGTTCCACAACACTCCCGCTCCACCCTGGGGCTTTCATTCCCCTCCGTGGCCTGTCATTCCAGTACTAGAAGACTCCTGGTACACCCTGGGGCTGTCATTCCTCTCCGTGGCCTGTCATCTCAGTTCCACAACACTCCCGCTCCACCCTGGGGCTTTCATTCCCCTCCGTGGCCTGTCATTCCAGTACTAGAAGACTCCTGGTACACCCTGGGGCTGTCATTCCTCTCCGTGGCCTGTCATCTCAGTTCCACAACACTCCCGCTCCACCCTGGGGCTTTCATTCCCCTCCGTGGCCTGTCATTCCAGTACTAGAAGACTCCTGGTACACCCTGGGGCTGTCATTCCTCTCCGTGGCCTGTCATCTCAGTTCCACAACACTCCCGCTCCACCCTGGGGCTTTCATTCCCCTCCGTGGCCTGTCATTCCAGTACTAGAAGACTCCTGGTACACCCTGGGGCTGTCATTCCTCTCCGTGGCCTGTCATCTCAGTTCCACAACACTCCCGCTCCACCCTGGGGCTTTCATTCCCCTCCGTGGCCTGTCATTCCAGTACTAGAAGACTCCTGGTACACCCTGGGGCTGTCATTCCTCTCCGTGGCCTGTCATCTCAGTTCCACAACACTCCCGCTCCACCCTGGGGCTTTCATTCCCCTCCGTGGCCTGTCATTCCAGTACTAGAAGACTCCTGGTACACCCTGGGGCTGTCATTCCTCTCCGTGGCCTGTCATCTCAGTTCCACAACACTCCCGCTCCACCCTGGGGCTTTCATTCCCCTCCGTGGCCTGTCATTCCAGTACTAGAAGACTCCTGGTACACCCTGGGGCTGTCATTCCTCTCCGTGGCCTGTCATCTCAGTTCCACAACACTCCCGCTCCACCCTGGGGCTTTCATTCCCCTCCGTGGCCTGTCATTCCAGTACTAGAAGACTCCTGGTACACCCTGGGGCTGTCATTCCTCTCCGTGGCCTGTCATCTCAGTTCCACAACACTCCCGCTCCACCCTGGGGCTTTCATTCCCCTCCGTGGCCTGTCATTCCAGTACTAGAAGACTCCTGGTACACCCTGGGGCTGTCATTCCTCTCCGTGGCCTGTCATCTCAGTTCCACAACACTCCCGCTCCACCCTGGGGCTTTCATTCCCCTCCGTGGCCTGTCATTCCAGTACTAGAAGACTCCTGGTACACCCTGGGGCTGTCATTCCTCTCCGTGGCCTGTCATCTCAGTTCCACAACACTCCCGCTCCACCCTGGGGCTTTCATTCCCCTCCGTGGCCTGTCATTCCAGTACTAGAAGACTCCTGGTACACCCTGGGGCTGTCATTCCTCTCCGTGGCCTGTCATCTCAGTTCCACAACACTCCCGCTCCACCCTGGGGCTTTCATTCCCCTCCGTGGCCTGTCATTCCAGTACTAGAAGACTCCTGGTACACCCTGGGGCTGTCATTCCTCTCCGTGGCCTGTCATCTCAGTTCCACAACACTCCCGCTCCACCCTGGGGCTTTCATTCCCCTCCGTGGCCTGTCATTCCAGTACTAGAAGACTCCTGGTACACCCTGGGGCTGTCATTCCTCTCCGTGGCCTGTCATCTCAGTTCCACAACACTCCCGCTCCACCCTGGGGCTTTCATTCCCCTCCGTGGCCTGTCATTCCAGTACTAGAAGACTCCTGGTACACCCTGGGGCTGTCATTCCTCTCCGTGGCCTGTCATCTCAGTTCCACAACACTCCCGCTCCACCCTGGGGCTTTCATTCCCCTCCGTGGCCTGTCATTCCAGTACTAGAAGACTCCTGGTACACCCTGGGGCTGTCATTCCTCTCCGTGGCCTGTCATCTCAGTTCCACAACACTCCCGCTCCACCCTGGGGCTTTCATTCCCCTCCGTGGCCTGTCATTCCAGTACTAGAAGACTCCTGGTACACCCTGGGGCTGTCATTCCTCTCCGTGGCCTGTCATCTCAGTTCCACAACACTCCCGCTCCACCCTGGGGCTTTCATTCCCCTCCGTGGCCTGTCATTCCAGTACTAGAAGACTCCTGGTACACCCTGGGGCTGTCATTCCTCTCCGTGGCCTGTCATCTCAGTTCCACAACACTCCCGCTCCACCCTGGGGCTTTCATTCCCCTCCGTGGCCTGTCATTCCAGTACTAGAAGACTCCTGGTACACCCTGGGGCTGTCATTCCTCTCCGTGGCCTGTCATCCCAGTCTATGATCACTTCTTCTGCACCTTGGGGCCGTCATTCCACTCTGTGGCCTGTCATCCCAGTCCCAGAACACGCCTGGTACACCCTGGGGCTGTCATTCCACTCAGTAGCCTGTCATCCCAGTTCCAGAACACTTTTGTTACTCCCAAGGGCTGTCATTCCACTCTGTGGTCTCTATTCCATCCTCAAAGTAGTGTATTTGGGCCCAGAGACCCTAATTGAAAATCCATTCCGCATTTTTATTGCAACTCTACTTGTACCGTAATTTTTTCCAATGGAGCCCATGCAAGTCAATTGGCACTCCTGGCCCCCATTATTTCCAATGGGCCTTCCAGCGTCTCCCATTGTTTCCAATGGGCAATCCTGTCCTTCCTTTTAGTACATCCCCACAAAGGATAACTAAACAGCTTAGAAATAACTCAGAACATAACAAGGGCTACACACCTAAATATATAAAATAAAGTGGGGGGGGGGGTGTTTCAGGCTGCTTTCCTCTCTCCCTTTTTGTAACTTCAGCATTCTGAACATCAACAGAAATAACCCAAAATACAATAAACAAGCTTGCAAGTTTCCCAGCACTCTTCATAACCCCCTGGAAGTTCAGTACCCAAAAAAAAGTGGAGGTATAGAAAAGTATTATATTATGTTTCTTTGCATAGTGAATCCGCGAGTGCGGAGTGTGTAGAGTCCTCAGGCCGTGCTGCAAAATTAATCAGATTAGACGGCCGGAATACCAAGCAGATTTCAAGGTGCACTAAAAGCGACGGGGGGAGGGGAAGACACTCCTTTTAACATACAAAATCCAATAAAAGTTTTCTCTGTGCAAGTGCTATTCGAGCAGCTTCTTTTATTCATCATCAGAAGAGACACGCGAAACAAAGCGTTCCTCCTTTACAACAGCTGCAGTCAGACGACCTTAAACAAGCCAGCACCCCTCCTCTTCTTTTTCGCCCTTAGCTCCTGACGCCCGGCGTGCACGTGATTTTTGAAGGCGGAGGTTTCAGAAACAGATGGGGGAGGGAGTTACCGAGAGTGCCAGCATAACAGGAATGGGTTTAATACTTCAGATTTCGTGCTGCTCCTTTGGTTTTTAGCACAGGACTGATCAGTGGAGTGCCAATTGTAGCCTCGGCTGCTGGGTTTCCAAAACAAACGGGGGAAAGAGGACTGCCAGACAGGAGAACAGAGTGGAGTTCTTTGCACTTTCCTGTCGTTTACTATTGAAAGTCTGAGCAGGAAGCCGGGTTGGTAGGGAAGTTTTGTAAGTAAAATATATGTGGAGACAGAAATAGATTTGCCAGGGAATCTCGAGGAAAGAAGGAAAATATACTGTTTTTGAAAGGCGGAAGTAAGTAAGTTCTGAACTGAGAACTGGAAAGAACAATCAAAGCCAGCGTTTCAACAGGCCAAAATTAAATGATAACTATTATTATCTATTAAAATAAACTCTTTAAAGTGTATCCTAGTAGGAGGATTTCAAATTCCTCCCTGTGCCATGAAATTTACAGGATGACCTTGGGTCAATCAGTTGTAATGAGCCTCTCCTGCCCAGAGTTGTGAGTAGATTCAAAGGATCAAATCCTCCCTCAACATAAAAATCCACTGGTTCATTCAGACTAAGCTCCCCACGGCCTTAATGGGAAGATAAAGGGATGTTATGCAGGACACCACTAGCTGTAATCAGAGGTGGGAAATTCAGTACCGGCATTGGCAGTTTCTGTAAGGGGGACGTCGAATGATTATAAAATAGAACAGAATAGGGGATTTAGTGAGAAGTAGATAATTACATGGTATCCTAACTTTGTAAATTTATTCATTCACTGGCCAGTTCTTGGTGAGTTCCTATTACTCTCAGTGCAGGAGAAGATACTACATATACAATATCTAACAGTTTAGATCTGTGTTGCATTCAGAGGCAAAAACCTTTGAAAACTTAACCTGCAACCTCAAAAACCAGGATTTAAACCCAGGACAGTAAATTATTTTAGCAAATCATAAGATATAATTTCATCCTGAATTATCAGTATTTTTTCTCTAATTTTGTAAAATACACCTGGGAAAGTGATTTATAATCCCAACAGCCTGCTTTTCTTGCATGAAATTAAAGTGTGGTCATCTGTTCCCCCCCCCCCCCATACAGAGAACAGCATGTTGGCTGCTATTACTTAGGAAAGATCTGGCCCCAGTTAAGCATTTTGGGGTCCTGTTGAGTTACTCTCCCATTGAAACCAATGGGACATAAATGTGCCTAAATTTGGCTGTATCTTCCTGTTAGTTTATTCTGGGTTGATAGATCACTGTGTGCATTGCAGTGAAAGCTGTCATGGATTAAATATTTTATTTTCCAAAATATGTTTCAAGAGGAAACAGTTTGTGTGAAACAATTTGCTCTGAAGCTAGTCCATACTGTAGTTTCTGCTCAGCATTCATGAATTCCAGAGGGGTAGGTTCATCTATTGCACCAATTTATGCTATTATAAACGAAATAAGATTTATGATCTTTAGATATTATGAATGGATTTTCTCTATGCGGTCATTTTATGTAGGAAGTTGGGGGGGGGGAGAGAAAGCAGGGTCAAGAGGCCACAAAATACAGAGGGAAGTACAGAGTGAAATGTAAATATGGAAAGTGTACATCTGATTAGGAGAAAAATGCAAAAACTGCCCTTATTGGGGAATAGTGTGAACAGTATTTGGATAGTCATTGTTATAGAAAAATCTGAGGGCCCACAAGGAATCATGGGGAAAGCAATTTGTAAATGTCAGCAGGCCCATAGCCAGGATTTTTTAAATTCTGGGGCCTTTAAATAAGTTGGGGGGCACTGATGTCACAAAAATAAAATTCAAATAAAAATTTAAAAACTCACGCTCACCAGTTGGAGCGGGCAGCCGCTCCATCCATGGAGGCCTCCCATGTGGTGTCACCCTCCTTTCAGAATCTTCCCTGCTAAGATTTTGTAAACTCTCAGGGCTTGAGTGGGCTAATCCCCCACCTTTCCCCCCTTTAAATGACACTTCAGTTGTTTTCAGCATTCTATCCCTTCTGGAGCAGATTTTGTTTTGATTATCATGCTGCTGGTTCCCAGACTCCGTTTCTTTTGGTTAATTTACTGTCATGGTTTTCTGCGTACCTGGAGAGTCCCACCGAGCATCCATTGTAGAAGCCAGTGCTTTCTGCCTTATGTTCTCTATGTGGGGAGCAGTCAGTTAGCTATCCAATAGAGCAGTATTCATAATATTTGCCACAGTAGACCATGTAGGGGAATATATCAATACTGTTGTGATTGTCAGCGTTGATTATTTGCCCAACAACACCATTTGTTTTTCTCTTCTCTCTATTTCCAGAAGCAGCCAGGAAGAAAGGGAATTGAAGCCATTCCTGAAAGAAGTCATGTCATTGCTAAGGACAGAGATGGGCAGCTGGCAAGGAAGCAACAGTTCCACCAGCAGCAATGGGACAGATCTAACCATTGGTTTCACCTCATCAGCAATAGCAGTCTTGTTATTTGGCTCAAACTTTGTACCGGTTAAGAAATTTGACACTGGTGATGGTAAACAATTTGTGCTAACTTTAAATGTTCTTATTCCTACTTCATACACATGTCGCGTCATATTCACATACTGACAAATGGCAACTTGTTTCAAATGAATAAATTAAGTAGATAGATTCCATATGAACTAGTTGTAATTAAAGAGTTATCCTTATAAATAGAATGAAAAATGAGTCATTGTATCAACAGGCTTGTGTAGCCCATATTTCCTCTATGTCTTTCTAAGGCAGGAGCAGACCTTGCAAATGGAGTGGGTATAGCCTAGTGGCTAGGAGTATTTGCTGTGACTTGGGAGGTTAGCAGTTCAGGTCTCATTTAGCTGTAGAAGGCCTTAGACAAGCCACTCACTCTCAGCTGTAGCTCCCCCGTCTACAATTTATTTCACATTTTATCTTTAAAACTTTTATCCCACCTTTCTCCTAAAAAGGACTCCTTACAGGCATGTAGTAAATATTACAGTGACTGTGTATGTGAAATGCTTTGAACACTGAAAGGACAATACAGGTGATTAGTCTTGTTATTCAATTTAGCAGTCCTAAAGCAAAGGACAGGCAATTTAGTTCAGATTAATTTGTGAGATTCAATGGCCTTTACTGTTCCCTTAGTACTGCCAGTTAATGGAACTCCTGCATTGGGGAAATTGCACCTATAACAATTCTCTCTTTTACATAAATTCTTAAAGGCACTTCCTGCAATTGACATATGACAGCTCAAATTTGTGGCCCAGCAGCTACTTGGATTGTTGATAGCAGCATTCTTTGAGCAGTCGGTAAACATTCCATGATGTTAGCTCAATCAATCGCTACAAGAGACTTCATCACCACTTTAGCATTTTATAATACAGGTTTAAATTCAGTATGATTTGCTATCCTTTTTTGTAGAATGATAATGTTGTGATATCAATGGAACTTAGCTATTTGGGCGTTTTGTGTGTTCTAGGGATGTTCTTCCAGTGGATTCTCTGCACTTCTATCTGGATAGTTTCATTAATCGTCAACCTTATTCAGAACTGCCCTAGATTTTGGCCTCTTGCTATGGTTGGGGGCTTTTTATGGGCTACAGGTAATGCTGAAATACTCCTGATTTTTTTGGAATGTAACTAGAATCACTCATGTAAATTTACAGATCACAGAGTGGGATAACATCACACCATAAAATATAGTAATTAGACCTGGGACAGAAAATACATTATAAATATTGTGACCTATTCTTGCATTTACCTACCGACTGTTGTGTAATTCAGTACGAGAAAGTCTGCTTGAAGTATTTTATTACATAACTGTTGCATGCAGAAGGTGTATTCCTAAGTATATCTTCCTAACGATTGACAGTTTTTATACTTTCAGTTACTTGTATGTTTCTAAATTGTGCTTATGGGTGTTGAATGGATATGATAGCCATTTTCCCCTCTGACTGAGATTCTGTGTTTAATTAAGTGAGTGTTAGAAAGAATTTCAACATAGCTGGAAAAAAGAATGACAGATGTAGTAATTATTTTATTTAAGATGTTGGGAGTTTCTGGACTTGGTTTATATTGAGCTGATAGTTTTTGTATCAAGCTGCAGACCGGAAGGTTGGTAGCTTGGCAGTTTGAGACCTGAGTGCCGCATGAAAGAGTGAGCTCCCATCTCTGGCCCCAGCTCCTGCCAACCTAGCAGTTCAAAAACAAGAAATTGCAAGTAGAAAAATAGGTACCACTTTCGTGGGAAGGTAACAGTGTTCCGTGCACCTCAGCATTTAGTCATACCGGCCACATGACCATGGAAAAGTCTTTGGACAACGCTGGCTCTTCGGCTTGGAAATGGAGATGAGCACCGCCTGCTGTAGTCGGATTCGACTGGCTTTCGAGCAAGGGAAACGGTGCAATTATGTGTATTGTAATCAAAGACTTGGATCTAACCCACTTTTCTGCTGTTGAAAGAGAGGAGGGAATCCACTCTGACCACCAAAAAGACTGTTCTGGGGACAATGGGACCTGCATGGACAAAAAACATGTAGGAAAGAGGCTGCAGTAAGGAGGGGGATTAATTGAGTGGGTGAAAAAGATAGTGGGACCCAAGCCAAAGATGCTAATGGGTTATTTTTCATCTATATAATCAGCGTCTAATTGTGACATATTTTGCTTTTGTGTTTTTCATATTGCAGGTAATGTAACAGTGGTCCCCATTGTTAAAACCATTGGGCTGGGCCTTGGGCTCTTAATCTGGGCTTCTTTTAACTTGCTAACTGGTTGGGCGAGTTCAAGGTAAAATTGCTACATACCTAACTAGATAGTAATTGATGTGTTTGTGATTAACTTAAATATTTACAACAAATAAATCAAGTTTCTTATGAAAAGCATTTGTCTTATTGTTTACTTGTAATAAGTTGTGCAATGGAAATATGGGATCCTAGTCACAGGCTATACCTCAAAAAGAATATTGCAGAGCTGGAGAGAAGTACAGAAGAGAAAACCAAGATAGAAAGGGGTTGGAGCACCTTTCTTATGAGAAAGGGCTAAAGTGTCTGGGACTTTAGAAAAAAGATAGCAAAGGGCAGGGGTCTTGTTGTAGAAAAAGAGCTGCCGGAGCTCATTAGCATAACTCATTAGCATAACTTATTTGCATATGCCACGCCCCCTGACATCACCGGAAGTGACAGAAGGCCACACCCCCTGACATCACCGGAAGTGTGTCAGAAGGCCCGGCTACTTACCCTCCTGCTTCATCCTCATTCCCAAACGGAATGAGGATCGAAGCAGAGGGCGGGGTAAAGAAGGGGGCGGGGCTTCACCACGTGACCGCCCCGCCCCCTAGAGGTTCTCTTCCAGAGCTCCGTACCTGAGAGCTCCCCCCCGACTAGAGCCCTGGCAAAGGGGGAACATGACAGATTCATAACGTTATGTGTGGTGTGGAGAAAGTGGATAGGAGAGAGCTTTTTCTTCCTCTCCAGGCCCAGTGAAATTGTTGAAAAATAGGTTCAAGACATACAGAATGGGTAATTAAATTGTGGAATTCACTGCCAGTGGCAATGGTCATGAACACAGGTGGTTTTAAAAGGGGGGTTAGACAGATTCATGGAAGAGAGGTCCATCAGTGGCTACTAGCCATGGTGGGTGAAGGGAACCTTCACATACAGGGGCAGCAGCAAACCTCTGAATATCAGTGCCAGGAGGCAACAGCGGGGGAAGGCCTTGGTCTCTGTGCCCTGGTTGTTGGCCCTGCAGGGCAAGAGGTTGGCAGCTGTGTGAAACAGAATGCTGGACTAGGTGCACCACTGGTCTGACTCCTCAGGCTTCTTCTTATGTTCTTATTACCATTCCCAGAGACAATCTGAGTATGCCAATCTAATGTTGTTTTTCCTTCCCTCTGTTATTTAATTTCAAGAACTTTCAAAGGAGTTCTTTTTTGGTTGAAACAGGTTTGGCTGGTTTGGAATTGATCCAGAAATTGTGGCAAACCCAGTCTTAAATTATGTTGGAGCTGGACTTTCAGTGTTAAGGTATTTTTAAAAATCTCCCTTTTATTAATAACAATTTTTAAAACATCATTAGATGAGACGTATATAAAATATATGCATATTGGTATTTAGAGTTTGTGTACATGTGTGTAGAAGATTTATTAATGCTCGGGAAGTATTTTATAGATACTAAAAATGTATTACAATTTGAGGAAAAGATATATGCTTGAAATATAGTCTGCATAATTTTTATATATCTAATATGCTATGTCATTATGAATGTGCTGCTTGAAATCATTTCCTTTGCAGCACTATCCTGTTTCTTTTTGTAAAAACTGATGTTCAGAGCTCTTCTTCATCATCAGAAAGCACTCCATTACTAAGAGAACATGTAAGTATTTCATTTTTTCTACTACTTTAAAACAGTGAGGGTATGTGTCTGCACTGAAAGAAAGCACAAATCCATGAATTATTCCACATCTTTCCTAGGCTTTGAGTTAACTCCTAGGAAGCCCCCAACTTCCCTGTTCCCCTGATTCAAATGAAGTTCTGCAGGGCTCATTTCTGGGTCTGATGCTTTTAAAAATTTTCATTGATAGTTCAGTGGAAATAGATGGTGGAGGACTAGCAAATATGTTAGAGAAGAGAGCTGTAGCAGGTTCTGCTAAAAATGCAATCCAATCCAATGTATATGTGACAGAAAAGAGCCCAAAATTCAAATGTAGGTGAGAGAAATCTGGTAAAGCAGTTTCATTGTTGAAAAAGGTTGCTGGATAGCAAACTGGATGTGAGTCAATACTGTGACCCAAGAGACTAATGATATTTAGGTTGTATTGAGGGCATCTTTTTATCAGATACTCAGAAAACAGTGCTGTCTCCTTTTTGGTAATTTCTCTGGCAATTTCTCACAAGGATGTTCTTCATAAGCAGCATCAAATGATGAACTGCTCATTACCAAAATTAATCACCAGTGAGAGCATTTCTGCATTGCCCATTGCCATCTCAAAACTTCTGTATGAATGTTGTTCACGCATCATGTGACAACTGATCAAGTTTTGAGCAATCATGTGATGTACATGCATGTGTGAACTAGCCTCTGGAGCCTAGAATTCACTGGTACTTCCCATTATTCAAGAGATTCATTACAAATGGGGAAATCTTCATAGAAATATGAAAGATCTAGAATAAATTTGCAGTTAGTGAGGGTAACAGGAACCAAATGAGGCCACTTGCATTCTTAAGAGCCTATCTTTTCTCTAGACAGATGTCAGGGCCTGGAGGTATATTTTGAATTCCACAAAAGTAAAGGAAGGTATGCCCACAGTACAATTCTTATCCACTGAAGATAGGTAACAATGAATTAATAGAAGTTAGCTTTTGGCCCAAAGAGGGCCACCAAGCCAGCTAACAATTAAAAGCAGAATATTATAAAAGATGTCATAAAATCAGTTAAATATCAAGAAAAAATCTTCCTAATTAGGAGGTAAGAACAGCAGTGGAAAATTGGAGTATGTCTTTCCTTTGATATTTGGCAAGAAAATCTGGAGAGACACCAGTTGGGAATTCTGGAGGAGCATGCTAAGTTGTAAAGACTGTTTTTCCTATCTAAACGTATTGTTATAGTATCTAGTAAAATGTACACTTGAATTATTGTTTTCAGAAATCTTAATCTCGGTGACTTTCATTTTATCAATAGTCAATCAATACTTCTGAACGTAGGAATGAAAACCGAAATGATGTATCATGGGTGGACAATCTTTCTCCATCAGGAAAGAGAATTATGTAAGTTCTTTTCTTCTTTCTGGTGAATGCCCTCTACCCTGCCGTAATACCATTGCATGTGAGGTACTACAGTAAAAGCTTTGTTATCCACTACTTGATTAACCAGAATACTTGGGGCTTTTCTCAAGTTTGTGGAAACATCTGCCTTGTCTGTCCATGGTTCCAAATTCTGGATTTAAGTATCCATAGATGGGGTCACACTGAGAATTAGTTACACTGATGCCATTATAGTTTTCAGAGCTCTGACTTCAGCAGGTAGCAGTTCTTGGAATACCATAAACAGTTATTTTCTGTGACAGCCTGTGAATCTACAGGAAGCAGTATAACTCAAGAAATGAATTTGGATTATCTTTGTATTTCTTTTCTCTAAGAGGCTGTTCCCTGGCTGTGATAGCTGGAATACTGTACGGTTCTAGTTTTGTGCCTGTGCTTTACATCAAGGATCATGGCCGAAGAAATGGAACGACATATACAGGAGCGAGTCAGTTTGGTAAAGGCAGATGAGACATTTTTGAATGTAAAGTATACAAAGGGATTGTGCTAATTTATAGAGAAGGAAAGGGGCAGAGAAGAGGAAGAGCGGAGATTCTCCATATCTTCCTTTGCTTCCTCCATCCTACATGCCTCCGCCAGTATGCCCCACTGCAGGCAGTTGACTTGTAGAAACTCCCAGAAATTCTGTATGTCCAACATGTCCATCTGCTCAATTGGCTTGTTGATTGGTGGCAGCAGGTGTCTCAGAAAGTGGCCTCCATAGTGGTGACCAGTGTTCCCTCTAAGCTTAGTGTGGGCTAGCTCACAGTTTTTTAGCCTCTGGCTCACACATTTTTGTCTTAGCTCAGGAAGTATGGCTCCAGAGCAAACTAATTTATGCAGTAGCCAAATTGCTCACTCACAACTTTAATGGCAGTAGCTCATAAAGTAGAATTTTTGTTCACAAGATTCCACAGTTTAGAGGGAAAATTGGTGGTGGCTGATAAACAGATCACAGCACCACAGTCACTTAAGTCTTTGTGGTCTAGAAGCTCCCCATATTGAGCGAGTCTGCTGTAGCAGATTCTGGTCACAGAATTTGTAGTAGTGATGATTTTTGTAAAGGATATGGAAGCATTTATTTATTTTCATTTATCAAATTTATATCCCCACTCCCTCTCCCCTGAATGGGACTACAACTGATGACACTTTGAGATCAGAGTAATGAGATATCTATGATAATATCTATACATGAGTTGATGTACGTAATACATCTACGTATGATTCCGCCAACATCTTTATTTAACAAAAATGCAGGAGGCTTTAAATCTGTATATTTAGGGTGTGAGCCTGTTCCATCAATGTGATCATGCTTTCTAGAAAGCTGCGAGGTTGTATGATATTTTTGGTATAATCTTTGGTGAATTCTCAAAATGTATTTTGTTTGCCACATACGTAGCAATGTGCAAAATCTGCATTTCTGTTTCAGATTTAGATTATGTCTTTGCGCACTTTAGTGGCATCTTCCTTACAAGTACCGTCTACTTTTTGATCTACTGTGCAGTAATGAAAAGTCATCCTAAAGTGTATCCTGAAGCCATAATCCCAGGTATGATGCTGAAATCCATATTCTGTTATTGTAATTACAACTTTCTATCACATATGCTGCTGCAGCTCTGTAATGTGAATGTACTAATCTTTAAATGGCGTTTGAATGAATACCCCAAACCTATCATTCTGTACACAGTTTACATAAATCCTTCTGAAGCCAGAGATCTTAGAAACTAGAAACATTTATGGGAATTATTGATGCTTAGTGTTTTGTATTAAATACATAAAAATAGTGATAGATCTGGAAGGCTCATTCAACATAGAATGTGCTCGTATTTTCACAGCTATGTTGCAGGTTTCCTCGCTGTGGGGTGAGCTCAGCTCCTTCCCCCATTGCCTCCTTTGTTCCTCAGTAGACATTGCCTCCAGATCCAGTACTGATTGCCTCTTCCTCTTTGCCTTTCCTTCCATGCTTCAGGCAGGATCCTTGTTGTGTCTAGCAAATTATTTGTTTAGCTGATTAAAGATTTGTTTAATGCTCACTCCCATTTTACACAAGGTTCTTAATGATTGAAGAATTGGTTTGAGAAGAGGGGCAGCCAGGTTTTGTGACTGGTGCAAGCGTCAGCCAATCAGCACTGTGCACAGACTAGAGAAACAGGTTTCCTTGAACTTGGTGTGGGTATTAATTTTAATTAATTTATTAAAACATTTCACTCCTTTCCCCCATGGTTCAAGGTGGCTTACAATATGTACTTACAACATCATACAACAATAAAACGTCACCCACACACACACACACATACACACTTTCAGGCTTGGGACTAGGAGGCACTGTTATGTAGTGGTTTTGGTCATATCTCAAAGGTTGGTTTCACAGTGTGGTGCTGGGGAACTACTGCTCTGCCCCTTTGCCTCTGGCCTGCGGGATCCTGCAAGGTTCTGTCTTGTCCCCCATGTTTTTCAAAATCTATGTAAAGTGGCTGGGAGAGGTCATCTGGAGATTTGAGTTGCGTTGCCTCCAATATGCAGATGACAACTCAGCTCTACCGTGCACTTCCCGCAAATCCTAGGAAGGCTGTGGAAGCCATGAACAGATGTTTGGAGGCAGACTTGGGGTGGATGAGTGCCTACAAACTGAAATTCAATTCCAACAAAACGGAGGTGCTACTGGGGATTGACCTAGGAATTACCTGTTCTGGATGGGGTTGCACCCACCACCACCAGAATAGGTTTGTAGTATGGATGTGCATTCAGATCTCCTCGAGCTGAAAATCTACCTGAATAATAGCTTATTGGTATTTTTCGGTTAGAGTCCGGCATTCCAAATGTATCCAGCTTTTCTTGGGAAAACAAAAAAAAATCCTGAAAAAACCCCAGATATATTCGGGAATTACTGGATAGATCTGAAAACAGTGGAGAGGAGTGAGCAGATTGCTCCCGCCTCTTGGCTGTTTGTTGTGCTTCTACTTTAAAGTTTAAAGGGAATGCAGAAGACAGCCCCAGGATCAGGCTGGTTTTTTTAATTGAATTGTTTCTTCTCGGATCTGTTGGACCCAAACTGGAAAATACTGATTAAAAAAACATTGCACACCCCTGCTTTGTAGCTTGGGGGTGCTGCTGGACCCAAGCCTCCTGTTGGATAAAGAGGTGGCAATGGTGCCTTTCATTGCCTTCGACTGGTGAGCCAGCTGTAACCCTTCCTGGGTGGGTCTTCTCACTGTGGTGCATACCCTGGTAGCATCTAGGTTAGACTACTGCAGTGTGCTCTGTGTTGGGCTGCCCTTCAAGACTGTATGAAAGCTACAGTTGGTGCAAAATGCTGAGGCCAGAATGTTGACTGGAGCGGATTGTAGGTACCATTTCACTCCAGTCTTGTCCCATCTACACTGGCTCTCAGCTTGCTTCTAGTCCCAATTCAAAGTGCTTGTGTTGATCTTTAAAGCTCTATATACCTTGGGGCCAGCATACCTGAAGGATCACCTTCTTCAGTGTGACCCTACCTGTCCACTCCAATAATCTTCAGAGGCTCTGCTTCAAGTGTCCCGTCTGAGAAAGGGTCTTTGTGGTCATGCTGTCAAAACTTTGGAACTTCCTTCCCAGGGAGATTCATCTGTCTCACTCTATTGTAGCCTTCTGCCAGCACGTGAAGACTTTCTTGTTTGGTTTGGTGTGCCCCCAGTAATTCTTACTGTTCCTCCTCTCTGCTTGTGGCGTTCTGTTTGTATGTTTACATGCTTTATTCAAAAAATATGTACCTTATTTTAAATGCTGTTTTAATGTTTATTGCCTCAGGGGCCCTACTTGGGTGGAAAGGTTGCATAAAAATGCTTTAAATAAATAAACCCCCAAACATTTGTGGTTTCCTCCCACTGTGGCAGCCATTTCGTGTTGGTGCCCACTACCGTTTCTCAGAATTTCAGAAGTGCCAAGGGATTCTCAACACTATTAAGACTGTATTCTTTTGTTAATGTGGCATGCATGTTTTTGCTACATAGTATCCATAGCATAAGTGGTAGATGTATTATATAATGTATTCTCATTGTTAGGATTTGTTTCTGGTTTACTGTGAATCTAATCTAGGGCCACATATGAAGGGGAGGTGAGAAGCCTACCAGGCACCCTTATCCTGTTGTAGCAGATCTTCTTAATGTGGCATGCATGTTTTTGCTACATAGTATCCATAGGATAAGTGGTAGAATGTATTATATAATATATTCACATCTGTTGTTAGGATTTGTTTCTGGTTTACTGTGGGCAATAGCCAATTGCTGTTGGTTCCTAGCAAATCGTTACCTCAGTGCCGTGGTCAGCTTTCCAATAATCACTGCGGTAAGTACTTCTGAAATACATTTCTTCATGAAATAATATGGTAAACTGTGGCCCCTTTCATATATTGAACTGCCTTTGCTTTGGAAGTTTTGCAGGCAGCCTTAAGGAATTCATTCCAGTTAGTTCTTTTCATTTCCCTTTTGTTTTAACAGAATGTCGTTTCATCTCAAACACTTGAATTCTGGTTTCACATGATGGCTCCCTGCTTTTAGAAAACAGGTGACCCGTGCCAGCATGTTTGATTGTGTGTAAAGGAGATTCCAAGGGCATTGGAGTGCTTTGGGAGCATAAGTGGAGGGGGAAGAATGAGTATGACACCTATTATACCTTCTTCCCTCTTCAAGCTACTTGTGTGGGGGGTTGTGAACAGGGCCATATGTACTGTCTCTTGAGCCCAAATTCATACACCTTTGGTCACCTAGGAGCAAAAGAAGACTAATCTTCCTTTTTGTCTGAAGTCACCATGGTGGGAGGTTGAGGAAGAAATCTTTCTCTGGTGGCTACCTTGGGGACAAAGGAAAATCTGAAGTGGTCATAGGCAGGAGAAATTTAGCAATTTGAGCAGGGAAGAAGGAGCAAATTATTACCTTTATTTCTTCCCCTTTTCTCCCACAAAAAGAAGAGGGGTGGGGCAAAGGAATAAAAAGAATCTGTTGCTTCCTCCCCTTCCACACGCAGTTCATCACAGGGTCCCACACTTGTCCTTGTCCTGTTGATGTAGAAGGTACAGTAAATTATAGTAAGTTTCAAAGTTGCCTGGGTGGCCATTGTTTGTCACACAACATTTTGTCCTTCTCCAGACAGAGGAAAATCAAAGCTACTTTGAGCTGTACTGAGATCTAGTGTGCTGGTGCAACTGAATTCAAGCCTGACAATTGAAAAGAAGTTTCTATACTGAGATCTAGTGTGCTGGTGCTCAGTATTCAGTGTTCAAGCCTGACAATTGAAAAGAAGTTTCAGTAAATATGCTGGCTATTGGGTATCACAGTACTAAAAATAGAGAGCGTTTTCTCTCTGTTACGGTCATGAATGCCTATTCAGTCCTGAATAACTGAAATGGGAAAACCTTGAAAAACAGTTTGAGAATGATGATAGGAAGAAGGAGAAAAGGAATTCGGAATGAAGCAGTTTTCATAAGAATGATTTATTTCGAATGTGGTGCAACCAGGTGGGTTACAGTGGCAAACTATAGGCACTCCCTACTCTTCTGAAACTGACCTGTTCATGCCACCAAGGATTCTTGGGGAGTTATTTTGTGGTCTGTACAAACAAGTAATACTATTGCAAGATTTATGGTGCTGGGCTGTTGGTGGCTTTTTCAGCATCAAGAGCCACAGTGCATATAATCTGGAGCAAATCTGCAGTAAATGCATAAGCAGGTGTTGGGTTATGTTTGAAGCGTCATAGAGAACAATCCTTAGCATGTCTACTCAGATTAAGACCCATTTTATTCAGTGAGGTTTACTCCCAGGAAAGTGTTTTTATGTATTGGATCCATGATCCTTCACTTGATTTGGTATGGACAGAAATCACAGGGGATTTGTATAGGAAGATTTGAAGTAGCACAAGTGTTGCCACTGGATCTAGGCCTCCATCATAACTTAGGAAAGGAAGTTGGAGCTCACTGTAGTTTTTGTTGAACCTGTGTTAAATTGGAACTGACCCCAAGAACTCACAAGCGCTGAGGGGTTACAGCCAGCCTCACATAAATAAATAAGACATTTTGGCTCTCAGTGGAGAGATTTGGGTATGCTTGCAAGTTGTAATTATTTTATTCATTCATTTTATTTAGAGACCCAGTGTAGCTTATTGACCAGACTAGGAACAAAGAAACCCAGATTCAGACCCCCACTCTGCACTGAAACTTGCTGGGTAACCTTAGGCCACAAATTCTCTAAAGTCCCTACGGACTGTTTAGCCCTCTTTGGCATCTGAAGACAAAGAGGTGTGTGTGTTTTTTTTAAGTTTTCACACATCTTAAAGGGAATGAGCAACACAAAGAATTGTATCAAAACAGGTTTTGGAAAACCTGGATTAAAGCTTCATTATCTGCAGGCATTTTACCCTTAAGGTGTGTGAAACCTTTAAGAAATCCATTTGTCTTCAGAAGCCAAAGCAGTTTAAAGATCCCATATGAAATGGACCTTAGTGTATCCTTCCTCAAAGAACTGTTGAGCTCAACTATTAGCAGTGTATCCTTCCTCAAAGAACTGTTGAGATGATAAAATGATTGGGAGAAGGACCATACTCATCACCCTAATCTCCTTGGAGGAAGGACAAAATAAAAATAGGCAGATTAATATAGAGCCTGTTGACCCATGTGAAATAATGAGATTATTTTACTATTGGCCTGTAGGAAATATTAAGCCTATTGCTGGACTGACCTAATGACGCTACTTGCAGGTCTTACACATTTTCCTCAGAAGGTTCCCATTTCCTTTTCCCTGACATGATTATGAGCAACAGTATACTAAATGCATGATTATGAGCAAGACTAAATGCAAATGATTCAACTCACAATCAAATTATACTACAAGTATTTATTATATATTACGCTTGTTATTCAGGGTCCTGGCTTTATAGCTGCAATGTGGGGAGTCCTGGTCTTTAAAGAAATAAAGGTAAGATCTGCAACAGCCTAACTGTATTATTCTCACAGTTGCAGCTCCAGAGAGAGAGTTGAGTATTTCTTTTCGTAGGCCAGCATGCTGTAGGGGCTAGAATGCTAGACTAGGATCTTGAAGTCACAAAAGCTCCCTGGGTGACCTTGGGCCAGTCTCTCTCAGCCTGACCTACTGCACAGGATTTTTGTTGTGAGGAAAGAAGGGTGGGGAGGGGGGAATGATGGAAGCCCCTGTGGGTCCCCATTAGGGAGAAAATAAGGGTATAAAGATCTAAATCAATAAATATCCAGGGCTTAGTGTTCTTTGGCTTCAACCGCTGCCAAAGTGTTTAGGATGATTTAAACAAGTAAAAGAAAGAGATATGCTGGTGAGTTATAACATTTTCTTTTGTGTAAAAACCAGAAGCTGAACTTTTGTACCTCCTCCACAAGGTGATGTGCAAGTTCAAAAGAACTGAATGTTCCAAACAAACACTGGTGTTCATCTCTCCCAGCTTTCAGTTATCGAAGGCTTAGGGCAGAACTACACATTACATATAAGAAAGTGCCAACAGTCATTTCTATAGAATTTACCTAAAAGGTGTAAGGTAAAGGTTTCCCTTGCTTGAAAGCCAGTCGAATCTGACTCTAGGGGGTGGTGCTCATCTCCGTTTCCAAGCCAAAGAGCCAGCGCTGTCCAAAAACGTTTCCGTGGTCAGGTGGCTGGCATGACTAAACGCCAAGGTGCATGGAACGCTGTTATGTTCCCACCAAAGCAGTACGTATTTTTCTACTTGCAATTTCTTGCTTTGGAATTGCTAGGTTGTCAGGATCTGGGGTCAGAAATGGGAGCTTACTCCATCATGCAGCACTAGGGTCTTGAACTGCCGAACTACAGACCTTCCGATCTGTGTAGGTCTATAAATGACTTAAGAGTTTTAAGGGCCCAATGGGACCTCCATGTTCCTAGGCAATTGAATGCCAGTTGCTAGAAGAAACAATGGAGGGAAGCTTTGACCTCTGTACCTCTTCCATGGCATCTGGTTAGCTACTGTGAGAAACTGGCTCCTCGACTAGATAGACCATTGAGCTGGCCCAGCAGGGTTCTTTATAGAGGGAAAAGGGCAGTTTGGAATTTTAGAAAGCCAAGGGACGAGGACCTGTTTAACCCTTCCATTTCCCCCTCAAATTCCTTCATCCAAGCAATATCCCCCTTTGCCATGGAATTCCAGGTGTTTGTTTGCAAAGGCAGAAATTGATCTGGATCAGTGGCCACCTGGGGAGGGTTAAGTACTTCCTTGCTCCCTCACACTTCTTTCCCCCCCCTCCCCTTTCTGTTCAGATAAGCAGCTGCTGGCATAGTTCTTCCTCTAAACACCAACAGTGCTGTCCTAGGCAGAGTTACACTCTTCTAAGCCCATTGACTTCAGTGGACTTAGAAGGGAGTAACTCTGCTTAGGATGGCACTGCAAAGCATTTAAAGAGTTGCTCCATGTTACACTCCCATTTTCCTAATGTTTGTGTATTTATTGGCAGTATCAGGCATGTTGGTTTTTATGAATCTGTGTGTAAAACCAGATTATTTGTCCAGATCTGGTGGTTTTAAGCTAGTCACCAATATTTATATAAAGGGTGTTCCTGGAAACACACAATAAATTTGCTGATCTGAAATGTACTGTAAAAAAACCTAATTACTCATTTGCTTTTTAGAAAATAATGTTGTTCTCTCCACCCTCCCTTCTGTGTTTCTTTGTCCACTCAGGGTCTGAAAAATTACATTTTACTCTTAATAGCCTTTTGCATTATTTTGGCTGGTTCACTCTCAACAGCTTTTTCTAAAGTCTGAAGAATATCGTTTGAACCAACAGATGGCAGCACTGGTAAAGACATGCTTGAAGATTGTGTGTTTTCTTGGATCACAAATGCCATCACTTTCACCAGTGAGGTAGTCTGTAAATCAAGAACCTTTTGCACGAAATGCAGATCATTTCTCTGTGTTTGGAAGAATAAGGGGAAATCTTTTAATGCTTAAAGGTTGGGCCTTTATGGAATGAAATCTGACTCAAAATGATTCTCTAATGTGATGGTGGCTAATTATTTCGGGGTGAGAGCTTATTGTTCACTTTGCAGGGAAGTAGTATCTGTGTTACGGCATATGGTATCTTTACTTTTCGTAACTACAGAGGGCTTCTTAACAATGACTGCTGTCACTGTAGGTACTGGTGGTTTTTCAGATACCTGGATTGGAGGCTGCTCCCAGTTCCCCTGAGTTTGAGGATAGCTTTCAGAACAGGGGCTCACCATATGGTTCTTTGAATCATAGCCACAAGCTGCTGTCCTTGTGAAGCATGAACTGCTTTGTGCAGGAGCACATTACTGAGAGCGAGCAGCCCATTTGCCAAAGGCCCATAGCAGAGTGATAGAACAAGTAGGTTTGGACCAAGATAGCTTTTTCGCTCCATTGTGCTCAGTTGTCCTTCTTACTGCAGCTTCCATCTCACGTGGCTTTTTTCCGTGCAAGTCTCATGTTCTCGCCATATAGGGTTACCTGCTCTGAGTTGGGAAATACCTGGAGAATTTGGGGGTGGAGCCTTGGGAGGGTGGGATTTGGGGAGGGACTTCAGACAAGAGTATAATGCTATAGAATTGACGGTCCAAAGCAGCCATTGTCTCCAAGGGAACCAAGTTTGGGCATCTGGAGATCAACTGTAATAGCAGGAGATCTCCAGGAGCCACCTGGATGTTGGCAATCTTAATGCCATAGCCTTTTGGTGGTTAAAATTGGACCTTTTAATTCAGCATAAGGAAGCTTTATCTGATGTCAGTCCACCCCCATTACTAAATTGGGACAGCAGTTCTACGTCTCCCTTTTCCTACCCATAAAATAGCCATAGGCATATGCAGTGCCCATGGACTGGATCCCCAAGTAACTGTGGTAACAGTTCTCCTTCAAGAGAATGTATACTTAATCTTTTCTTTTATAGTTTTCCACATGTTCTGTCACTATTGTGTGTTAACGTCCCTTCGTTCTTTAAGTTAAGATCATTTATGTGGTTTATTTAGTTGAACTTTGATCAAGGGTATTGTTGTTTAAGCTGTTTTATTTTAACTGTTTCCTTGTTTGAGAGAGAATTTTGCACAATCAGTTAAAAGTTTATATATATCTTGAGACTCCTGAGGTGCTTCCAGTAAAAACTGGGGGGTTTTATCCTAGAATTAAAGATCCATAAACTTTGTTGCTAAAAATATCTTGTGAGTTGACTGACTGTATGAAGTTGTTGAAAACACCTGATTAGGATGCTAAGTTGTGAGTTTACTTAAGATTAGAAGATGCCTTTTAATAAAACGTCTTAAATTATATGTGTAAATATTTCATAAGTGAACTGAATTCTTGAAAAGATACAGGGAGAGGACAGAAACAGGCACCTTCAGAAATGCTAGGGAAGCAATATGTAATATAAAGACGGGGAAATAGAGAGGCCTCTTCCCACTGCTGGTCTTTGTATAGCCACAAAGGAAAGTTCTGGATCCATTTCTTCAAATGGCAGCTGCTGCAACAGAGAAGAAGCCAGCACTTCCAATCTTGCAGAGTTTTACAAAAGGTGGTCTGTGCAGAATATTCCCATATGAGGGAAGCACAGTATTTTAAATGTTGCTACTACAAAAGTTGTTGTGTGATTTGACAACAGCCGCTAGAAATTTTGCCACATGCAGGGTAGTTCGTTTATCTTCAAGTAGTCAAGATGATTTTGCTTCTGGAGCGTTTAATATTAATTTTGCATTCCACATCTTGTTTTTTTATATACTATACATCTTTCCTTAGTTACTTTCCTTACTTTCCCAGATTCACTGTTAAATCTTTTTTTAATGTCCTCAGAGGAAGCCACTGCACTTTTCTCACTTTGATTCTCCTTTTGTGATGCCCCTTTCCATCATTCAAAGAGTCTACCACCCACCACAACATCTGTCACACAAATTCAGGGATACAAGTAGGTCAGGCAGCTACCCATCTTGTCTTTTTTAAATATATAGAGAGCCCTGACTACTTTACAGGGTCCTCCTCTCTTCTCTTTCTCAGAGACTTCACCAGAGAAGGCAGCCCGGTTCCTAGTATCAATCACCCCTCACCCAGACATTTCACAGAGAAGTTGTGGATGTGGACTAAACACTTTTTTTCTCTTTATGCTGCAATCGTTTATTCACAGATATGTATATGTATAGTGACTGTGTGTGCAAGTGTATATGTGCATTTCCCCCCCTGAGACAATAGGTATCCAGTCAGCAGGGTTAAAACAAACAAAAGGACTTAACTTTTATTAAACACAACAGGGATTATTTATATACTACAAATAATGCCCGTTGTGGAAATAAATACAACGGGATCTAGAAAGAGGCTCTGGGAGAGTGCTCTGGCTTTGGGCAAACAGTGTCAGTTTCCTGTGGCGACCTCAGCAGGGTTTAATGACAGAGTCCACTGTTTTCTCCAGAGGGACTGATCTCTGCTACCTGAAGAGCATTTGTATGTTTGAGTTATCTGTAGCCCTCACCTGGAGAGTGGTAACCATTGTTACCCATTCTCCTCTCCCCTATGTGGTATGTTATGCAACTGAAAATTCCAACTGCCTTGCGGGGGGGGGGAGTTTGAGGTGTGGAATGGGCTGAAGTCCAATCAGCTTCCATATGCAAAAGACCAGGTTGTCGCAGCAGTTGTGGTGTGGGCGGGACCCGGGCTTTGCCTTCTGATTGGTGGCGATATATGCTGAGGAGCAGTGCCATCAGCCATACACTAAGGGAGTGCATTTTAGAATTAGAACTTTGGCACCCACTATTCAATTATATATAAGGAGAGATACACAACATTTCTCAATTCTTAAACTTTTGAATTCTATACGCAACAGTTCTGAATTCTTAAATTTTTGAACTCTTATTCAGTTTATGCTTCTTAAGACTCTTTGTTACAAGATAGGTTTTCCTCAGCCAGTGACTGGCTGGCTCTCCCTAGCTCAAAACTGTCAGCTCTTACTCATTTGCTCTCCAGCTGCCACAGACTAACTTCTCTGTCAGTGATTCTTCTAGCTGCCTTTCTACTGTCATCATTCTGCTAGCTCTTATTACCCATTCTTAGGAAGAGGCGGGATGTCCCTTTTTTGTTTTAAATAACATGTTCATTTCTAGAACCAATAAGCAATTCCTCCAATTGGTGCAGACATGTAACAGTAATAATAGTAGGGACCAGTTAATTAGTTAGCAGCAAGAGTAAAATTAAACAACAGTCATCACCCCAAATTATGTTAATAAATCAATTGCTCAATTTAATTAGTTCCCTAATATATTTATTAGTGATTAAAGAGAAAAAGGTGCACAAAAAAATCACCAAAGCTATCTGAGCAAACAATGTACATTTACATTAAGTTCTCCCCGTCAGGTCTGCTTCAGGGCTTGGTTAGGGGCCCTCACCCTTAATATAGTGCTCTTAGCATGTATGCTGGCTGCTGCACTAAATAGGTGAGTCCTCTGGAACTGTATTGCCTTGCAGTCCATCTCATTCTGTCTGGGGCAGATGGGGGGACTATGGCCCGTGGAAAAATATGTGGTTATCTAGTACATCACTAAGACCACTGTCTTAACATCTGAACTGTGTTAGTTCAAGCCCCGCGCTGGTGTGAGCAGCCAGCCTGTTGTCCCCAGCTCATCGTCCACCCAGCGATTCGAAAGCTTCAGCGAGTAGATAAAATGGGAACCACTCCTTAGAGAGGGTGGGCACGCCAACCTCCCTTGTGGGAGGGCGTTAGCTGATGGTTGGACGTTCCTGGTCAAGGCTTGTAAAGGCAAAACAACTTCCCGGCTACAAAAAGAACGCCTGCAATGGATGTTCCGGCCAGGCGGTGGCAGTGTGGCGATTGACATACGGGTCCTGAGGCCTGGCCAGCAAGCAGCCGTGCGGGAAAATGACGGAGCCAGCCAGAAGACGTCTACACCGGGCAGTGACGGTGCGTGCAACTAAAGTGAATATATGTTGTCTTCCCTATCCCCTACAAACATTGTTAGTCCCTTGTCTATATATGGAGTAACTGTACATCGCTTTGAGCCCACTGGAGAAAGCGATTAATAAATGGAAAGTATTATTATTATTATTATATTTATCTCTTAAAATCATCTTATTGGTAAGATCTTCAGAAGATCTGCTCTGTGTACCTCCATTGTTTGGAGGAGAGGTGGGTATTTATACAAACAGGATGTTCTCTGTGGTGCTTTCCTTAACAGAATTTTCTCTCCACTCATTCATCTGGCATCTCTGTTGCTGAGCTGCTGTGCATGTGGAGCAGCAGCAACAACAGGGAAGTAATTCCCCCCCATGGCATGGGAAAATGGATGGGGGGAGGCAGGAACCCCCCCTGCAGCAGTGTCCAGAGCCCAAACATGCTTTTCTTTATTTTTTAACAGACATTATCCACAGCTGCTGTGAGGCTGTGTGGAAACAGCACATGTTTAGTCTGGCCCTAACAGTGCAGGCCTCAAAACACTTTCCTTGGGGTAATTCCCATTAAGTAGTGTTAGGAATGATTCAGAATAGACCTAATTAGGGTTGTTAACTCTCTAACAGTGCAACCCTAAGCAGAGTAACACTGTTCTAAGCCTGTTGGCTCAGAAAAAGGGTGTAACTGCTTAAAATACTGTAGAAGAATTATTTGATTTTTGAAACCTACTGCAGTCCTTGATGACGTGGTGCCAGAATCTTATTTCCTCCAACTTCAGCTTCATCATGTTGCATCAGGAATCGTACAACTAGATTACTGTGGGCCAGGATGAGTTTTGCCTAGAGCTACTTCACATTGAATGATTATTTGATTAGTCCCTTGGTGTACAAATCTGGCCAACTATACCATTTTTCTCTGTCTTACATTACCTGTCTCAAGATTTGAGAATAATGATTCATATCTTGATTTGACAACACTTCAGGATGTGCCAGCATTTTCTAAATAGCAATTAGGTCATGAAGCATTGTCTTCTTTTTCTTGATTCTGTATGGAAACATTAAAAATATATCAATGAAATGTCATATTACATAAATTACATATTACATGAAGCTTACTAACTAAGAACAATGAACCAAAACCATACAAACAAAAATACAAATTAAAAAATGCTAATGGTAAAAGGCAAAACTGAACCCACTGACTTTGAGTTACATTATTACAGCAATATCAAAATGTGAACCAGTGAAGCAGAATAGCGACCTGCTTATCTTTAAATGTGCATGACTATGAGTAGGGGGGGGGGGGGGGATGAAATAGCTTTGCACAAGCAAAATGGATAATGGAATACAGTTTTAAATATTCACTTCTAAGTACCAGCATTTATCACAAAGGATAAGCTCATCTGTCGATGGAAAAGTGAACAGCAAATATGAACAAATTGGGGAATGTGGATTTCCTCTAACATTGTCAGACAAAACTCTTCGACCTGAAGTTAACGTTGGTTTATTCCATTTGTTGTTCTCAATGACTCACACAAGTCTGCTGTATATAAGACTGAAGAGCTACTGGCATTTCAAATAATTTATCAC